CAAAGCTTAGTGCAAAAAGTGCACGGTTACCTAAGAAGTGCAGACTTGCATGAAATGAGTAGGATGAATGACGTCATGAATACATCATTTTCAATTTGTGAGAAGCTTCTCATGTTCAGAGGTCGAGCTCTAGGGCGATATTCACCTTCAACAGTCTTCATCCACACTACGAGTTCTGTGATCTTCAGACACTAATTTACTAGCTGGCAATTTTTAACCTCTTCTCTAGAGGGTTACAAGCTCATAGGTCGAGATTACCTTCCTTTCTCAGGTCCCGTGTCTAACGCTGTGCAGTCCACAAGTCAGACTTCTTCCATACCTCAAACATGGCCGCTAGAAACGCAGATTCGATGAACGAGAAGCAAGGCGAGTTCATGCCTCGCAAGCCTCGTGATGAGCCCATGACCACGAAAGGTCATCAACTTGGTCAAATAGTCTCAGAAAAAGATAAGGCTGAAGAATTCACTGCCAAAACCCTGCCGCCTGGCTCCGCCCCCAAAGACCGCACATTCCAACCAAATAACATATCTGAGGTTCCAAGCCAAGCAAACAACCCAGATGTCCTTCCCGACGACGACAAAGAAACCACATACACTTCGGCCTCAGATACGCTTGGTGGAGCAACCTCAAAGGATGTGAACAAGGGGCTAGGTCGCCCTATGCAAGGTGAGACGAGCACAGAGATCAGGCATGATGGGAAGCATCATCGCAAACGAGAGGGAGCGGGCTTGGAAGGGGTAGGATCGAGCGGAGACCACGGCATGGAAGATCCAAAGTACAACCCGGATCCCAATGATGATCATCCAGAAGGACCAATTCCAGGTAGAGAGCATAATGCGGTGCTGCCAGGTGGAGAAGACATGTTGCCAGAGAAGGCAGGGGAGTTCTCCAAGTCGGACAAAGAGGAGAAAGTGAGGTAGATGGGGTGGTCGTCTACAGGGGAGATCAGTGATGTCTAGTAGCATTGGAAGAGCCAGTACCGAGGATAGCGCAGAAGCTCACCGTTCAAAGACGAATAGATGCTACAGTCATCAAGCTTGTACTCACAAAGAGAGCATACATGGCAATCCACCCACCATTTTTGAATTTCTCGACCAAACACTTCCACATGCCGAACTGACCATCTCTATTCTCCGTTGCGGCATTGTGCCATTTGTCCTCTACCACTCCATCACCTCAACTGACCTTCAACTTAAAATTTCGGCCTTACCAACACTTGGTGTATAGTCACTCTTTCTACGAGTAGTAGAGTCATGAGGTTGAACTGCAACTTTCTTTTTTTCGATCACCCCTACCAATGAGACTGAATGTGAGTGATTCAATGCATGCACAAAGAATACGTTGCACAGTTTACTTCTCGATTCGTTAAAATGCTTCTTGCACGTACAATGGAAGTTGGTGTGTTAACTACAGTTGTGGGGGATGAAAAGGTATGATTGTCAAAGTGAATTTTACGTATTGGTCAAGATGATACCAGTTAGTTAAATGTCGAAATACAGAGAAACGACTCCTTCGATGACGGACTTATCACAAGGGATTTGTGCTTCAAATGCAGGTGTGGTTTGATCATAGTAGAACTGGGCTCCACAAACAATGCAATGCCGCTCCTATAATTGTGACGCAGAAGACCAACCAAGCAAGCCACAGCTGCACACAAAATTCCCGTCAACAACAACTCAAAAACAATGCAAACAAATGCAACTCAGGATGCACTTGCTGACAACCGCTTTGATAGAGCATAGAGTCCCAGGCTTCAATTTCCCAACTTCAGAAAGCCCGATTTTCCAAAGGAAGCCCCCATCACGGCGGGCTCGACGTCAGCAACAACGGCAGGTCCGAGTGTGGGACTGGTGGCGGAAGTGCCTGATGCAGCAGAACTGGTGGAAGCTGAGCGCCGGGTTTTCCGCTCGGCGGTGGGGAGGGCGGCTGAGATGGCTTCTGTAATTGCGGTTGTGGTTGGAGATGATGAGGAGGGGTCAAAGCTGTGGTGGGCTGTTGGCAGGAGGATCAGGTAGTTGTTTACGGTGGTGGTGGTGGTGGTGGTTGTTGTTGTTGTTGGAGATGACATGTTAAGATGGGTAAGGAAGTAGTGGGAGGTAGGCGGGCAGTGGTTGAGGTGTAGGTAGATAGAAAGGGAGAAAGCGAAGACTATTGCAACGTTGGCGAAGGAAGTCCTGGGATATGAGGTTGTGGTACGATGCTGTTACCACTGCGATGGACTTTCTCTTTGTAGTGCACGCGAGGGTTTCGGATTCAAATATTCGGCCTCACCAGGTAATATGATGCTCCGATGGTGAATAACTGGATCAGGATCCGTTGAATTTGTGGTTGGCGAATGGGAAGAGGGCGTGTGGATTTTTGCGCATGTGATTGGCGGGGCGGAGAGGATATCAATGCTCCGTACCGAGGATTGGATAGGCGCCTCTACACCGCCTTGATAACTCGCTATGGTGGGGAACTGAGTCAGGGGGGAATTCTTTGCGGCCTGGTGATGCTTTCTTCCCAACACGTGAAAGTGATAGTCAACAAAGGAATTGCTGGCAGATCAGGAGCGGGGGGATTCTGAGAGCAGCAGCAGAACGAGACAGTATATGTAATAGGGAATTGTCGCGCCATGGCGTCAGCATGGCTGCTGTAGTATCATAGTTCAAACTCGATCACAAGCTCGGAGTTCGGGATACTGTACAGAAGCAGCTATCTGCTAGCCTCTGGACAAACGCATCTTGTCTGATTGGCATCGTCCACCTCTGGCTTACCTTGTTCTTGCGGAAGATTCCGGAGTCCGATCTCCTGGTGCTTTCCACATTTGAGGATCGTGAGATGACAATGGAGAATTATTGAATACGAGATGATGCCATGGATTGCGCCTTCTCCGTCTGTCCGCGGGGCGCGGGGTTACGTACTACGTAGTAGTAAAACTTGAAGTTGAAGCCGCGTTCAGCCGAGCCTTGGCATGAACCATGCACCATGAACCACGAACCACTGCCTGGCGCGACACTAAGACGCAAGGATCCTTACTCAGTATCAGTCCAACATTATCCTATGTCAGAAAAAGGGTAGTAGCTTCCGCTTCGGCCATTCAAAGCATATATACTCTCGAGGAAGTCTGCCAAACACACGCCTCCACCTCGAGGGGTCTAGCAGTACTGTGCCTGGTCTCTTCCCCAAGAGCACACCCGAGTTGTGCCATTCCGCGAGTGCCAGGAGCGGAGCGGACCGTCATGTTAAAGAGAGCACAGCCTAGATTTTCCTGGCCTCCCGTCTCATTGAGCATCTCTCTGCTATGCGACTCAGCATCACAGTTCCTGGTGATCTCATTTCCGGCCTGCGGAGAGAGGCTTTTCCCTTTGGAAGGACAGAGGCCTCATGCAAGGTCTTCTGATCCAGATGGACATCCATAAATAGCGCAATATGATTCGATCTTGGATTTGCTTCTGGTCATTCTGACAGAGCCAGGCACTCAAGAACCAGAGGAGATGAATTTGGGCCACGTTGACGCCTCTTCGAAACAACCACAACAACATTGCGTGTGACTTGCGAGTCGACTTGGCATCTTTTCTGTTCGCATGCCTAACTTAATCGAACAACGTTCATCTTCGGTTGTGGCTCTGCGGCAGTCCCGCTAATTGGCTCTCGCGATTTCCCTCACTTCGCCCAGCCTGCATCGATGGCGCGATAGGTTACAAATGACCGTTGAGATTTCTGAGGTTCCTCGGCGTGGTAAGGCGTCGACGTTTTCCCTCCTTGAGACTAGTGCATGCCTCTGTCTATCCTCTCTGGTCTTACTATGCTGGCAGTAACTGTTGACTTTGAACAGGTCATTCAACTCGTCACAAATCATTTTGAGCCTGCCGCACCATCAGACGAAACAACCAACCGTTCCCTCATCTTCAAGCGTGTCTATGTGTCTTCCGCCCTCGGATATGCAGCTAGCCCTGCCCGGTGGAACGTAACACATCCTTCCGCTGATTAGATCTCCCGCGCGTTATTTTCCGTCCGCCTTGTCACTTGGCTAGTGATGTAGCCTGCCAGTGTCACTTCCTCTGGCAACGACGTCAGTGAGCAATGCTCTGTCCAGCGTAACTCCACTTCAGAATGCACACTGCGTAAATTGTCTGAAAGGCATTGTGGAGCACATATTCTGCCTACTTACTCGCAGCAGAAACACAGTCTCATGGGTCTATCTCCAAAAAGCACAGCCACGAGTTCAAGCTGATCATATTGATGAATCAGCGGAGTGGATGAGAAATTCATGGCCCCACTCGCTTCCTCTTTGATTTGAGTTTTCTTCTACAGGGTCCTGTTGACGCAAAGCGTCGTTCCTGTCTGAAAGGGAAAGACGTGTTTTGCCGTTCAGGGGGGCATGTGGAGGTTGCGGAAGTCGTAGGCTAATCTAGTTCTTCGGCGTTTACCACTCGTCTTGCTTCCAGGTGGAGCCGGCTGGTTGACAAGTGACATGGGGGTTTTGCCAAGGCGGCCCGAAGATGGGCTTCAACTATTCTTTCCCTGTCGCGCTAAATGCACTTTGCCGCACCTACAAGTGGAAACGTCAAAAGGTACATGATCTGCAGCCACTCCAGCTATCCGCCAGGTCAGGCTACAATGCTCATTGAACTTCATGTTAGTCGAAAGTGATGCATGGGGCGTAACTCCCGAGTCTGCTTAATCGTTGTATGATCCAGGAGACTGTCAGAGCTTTGCGGCTGGCATTTACTGGGCGAACCGTGTACCGATCAGGGTAATTTCTTTGTTACAAGAACCTCACTGATCAAAGTTCAGACGGCATTAAGTACCTCTGGCCATGAACTCAAATATAGCGTCTAGCTTCGCTTGCAAACTTTGCTGTCGTCGTGCTCAAGGACCCCATACTTTGCCGATTGCAAACCGTGCAGGCTCGCACCTATAACTGACCTTGCACTACAATTGAGGCACGGCCGCATGCAGGCAACCTTCCATGCCAACAGTGTCTTGATTAAAGGGCGGCTGCTTCCTTGCGACCCGCGTGTGCCGCTGCTGCTCAAGCATATTTCGAATTACAGTATCATAACGGTTTATATAAAAAGTCCTTCTTGTCCATACCTTCTCACGCCTTTGCCATATGCAAAAGCAGCCTTCGTGCTGGTTCTTCTGCTTCCGGGAAGCCTTAATCTTATACAATCTTCGCCCGAGAGTTAGCTATATCGCTGGATTTCATCTATTGTTACTGTTGGAGTTTGCATCACTTGATCTGTTGCTTCAAGGTGAGTACATTGAGTCTGGTCCTTGGAACCATTGTTAACATCAGACAGATCTAAAACTGCTACATCCGCCCTACTGCCAAGATGTGCCTCAAGGTTTTACGGCGGTACAGCTGTGAACACACAGAATTCGTGGTTGTCAGATGTCCCTCCCAAGGGCAAGCAGGTCACCCACCGCCACAGCCGGGACATTGTCAAGACATCGCAGGGCCTTGCAAAACATGCGCAGCTAGCGTTTGATGAGTGTGGTAGGTCCTATCAGCATGGATCTTTATGGTCAGGCACTAAATGCGAGTAGTGTTGCGCGCAATATTTCGTGGGAAGGCCATCTCGCAGCTATCTTAATGGGTGGTCCATGGAGCATGAAACGGTCGCCTTGTCATGATGTAGCTGTTTTCTTAGGACGCTACATTCATCTTCTTCCATCTTGAACGAACCCTAAGAGGTTATGCAGTCAATTTCGGCTCGATATGAATAATTCTGCGCATTGTGTCAACCAGGATCAAACCGCATTGGGTAGGGTGTTTATGCAGAAACCTTGTTCGCATCTCGTATCACGCTCAACGGCTTGTGATCAAGCTTTTCAAGGCTGTCATGCCTTAATTCTCCGGTGACCTGAGCTGTGACGATTCTTTCGCAAACATGTCATGTGCAGATACGAGCTTGGTGACATGTTTGTGACCCCGTGCCTGAGCCTGGAAACCGTGTTGGCTGGCAACGATGCGCAGCTAGGATCACCTCCTCGATCAGCTGAGGACAAAGCTTGTTTGAAGATCTGCAAGAAGCTAAATCTCTGCGTTTTGTATCCAACACCCCTTCAAGTCCACGAAAATGACTCCATTGTCACCTACGAAGCATGTGATGAATCAGAGATGCATGTACGCGGTGGGCGGTGCATAACAAAATATGTTGTGGTCACGCAGCGCCTATCTTATCGTTTCAGATCAACACAATGAGCTTTGGTTGATCACAAGGGCTCTTGTCTATACTGATTTAGCTAGGGCGGCTCTCCTGCTGCCACAATAGCGATAAGGAATTTCGGACAGAAACTCGGTTTCTCCTCGGAAGGTGAAATGAAAATTGCCCCGGCAACGAGATGATGACCTGAAGAGAGCCGGAAAGTCTGGACCTGACTCAGCACCATGTGAGTTGAAATCTGCGGCGAAGCTTGCAGAGGGCGTATACAGGGTCGATAATTATAATACAAGCTATGCATTGTGGTTGGTTCGTTGCCTCCTGCTGCACGAGCGTTCCTCACAGCCAGGGTCGCTATCACGTGCAAGTACTCGACCTTGAGGCAGTTCACAGGATCCACACCCAGTCGTCGATCAAATCTGCGATTCATGAAGGCTGTCATCACAGCTCTAGCAGTATACAAGGGGTCAAACTAGGACCCGGGCCTGCCACGATGATATTGGTCAAGTGAACACTCAGAGCCTCACTTTGAAATCTGGCAAGTTCGGAACCATTCCAGGGGCAGCATCAGGTCAAGAAATAGGTTTTGCTTGCAAGCTCCCAGTTGACTTTGAAGTGACAGGGCCACGTGAAGTCTCGGTATTGCTGTAGGGCGGAAGTTCAACGCTTGTGCACTTCCCAGCCCTTGCTTCTCACCGCACGAGCTGCGGCAGAGCGGCGCAAGGTTTGCCAGTATAGTACGCTACCAGATGCCTAACCTAGGCGCCAATCCATGCTGTGGGTGAATATCATACCCCATGCCCTTTGTGCAACCTTGTGGCGTTGAATGACAGGACTAGTAAACGCAGCTTTCCAACCCCGTTTCTCTATTTCTCTTTGACGTAGCCAGGAAAGCCGTTGTGAACTCTCCTGTCAAGATTAGAATGACACCTCCCCTCCCGCCCTGGCACCTGCAAGCCTTCACTTCAAACCACACTCTTTCAATCCTTGGCATTCTTCAAACTGATCCTGTCATGCAACGGCTGTCAACGGGCCCAGTCTGGATCAGCGGTCTGAACACTGTTTATTAGAATGTCAGTTGACATAAATTGGGAGACAATCACATCAGGTCCTGACGGGGAAGCCTTGGCCGAGAGCATACGTTCATTCGTACACGACAAATTCCAGCAAGTAAGCTTGCCAGGATTCATTAGGTCGGTTGAGGTGCATTCATTCGATTTTGGCACAATCTGTCCTCAGTTTGAAATCAAAGACATCGGCGATCCTCTTCCAGACTTCTACGATGACAATGACGACAATGACGACAATGCTAGCGATGGAGGGGCTGACAGCAACCACGCCTCGGCTGTGAGCCGAGATCAGGCATTAGACCTATCACAGCACACACAGAAGGAGCAATCCATTCATCATGCCGGTAGTCGAAAAACCGAGGTCAACGCCGCTCCAGTACATAATCCTTCACAATCTCGAGGATTACCTCCACAAATCAACACCACGCTTCCAGCAGTGCGTTCTCCCTTCAACCTACTAGCCGAGCAACTTGGCAGTCCCTTTCCTCGAAGTGGCACACCTGGCATACCTGGCGGCACCTCGAACCTAAGCTATTTTCATCTTCCCCTTGGAGGACTCTCAGGAACACAGACTCCCCTTGCAGCAGTAGCGAGCGGCACGAACTTTTCGGCTGGCGGCTGGTCAGATCCGTCTCAAGTCCACGAACACCTCAATGCCTCCAACTCACGTCAAACGTATGCAGACCACGACAGCAGTTCACCTACCCGTCCATCAACAGCGGTCAGTCTGGTACTCCCTCAATCACCGACTGTGGAGAATGGACTCTCACCAACAGTATCACCGCACCTGCACTCCTCAACCCAGATCCCGAACCTCCTAAACCACAGCAACCAAGCTGAAGCACCAGCAGAATCGAGCGCCGCCTCAACGCTCCAACAACAACAACAGCAGCAGCAGCAGCAGCAACAACAACAACACCAACAACCCTCTGACCTGCAGGTAATCACACACGTCAAATATGCCGGCGATATCCGCCTGACACTGACCGCCGAAATCCTCCTCGACTACCCTATGCCCTCATTTGTCGGCATTCCGCTCAAACTCTCCATTACAGGCCTGACTTTCGATGGCGTCGCCGTCTTAGCCAGTATCAAGAAGAATCTGCATTTCTGCTTTCTGGCCCCAGAAGATGCGGAGATGTTGGTTGGGAGATCAAATGAGTCGGCACCCTCCGTTGCTAACGATGGCGAAGGGGAGAGACTTAAGGAAAAGAGGGAGGGAAGTAGAAAGGAAAAGCCGGGTGGCTTGTTGGAGGAGATTAGGGTGGAGAGCGAGATTGGGAGAAAGGAGAATGGTAAACAGGTGCTCAAGAATGTAGGAAAGGTGGAACGGTTTGTGTTGGACCAGATCAGGAGGATCTTTGAGGATGAATTCGTCTACCCGAGCTTCTGGACCTTTTTGGTCTAAAATGGTACCCTCTGTGGAGTCAACATAAGCCCTTGTCCTCCTCTTGCGTACTCACTGCTGCAACTTCCTAGCAGTTTGAGGAAATCTGCGACAGGGGAGGGCTTTCTTCCTCTTCTCTGCTGCAGTTGGTGATAAAGAACCCTCCATCTTGGCCAATGACGCTGTTTCTCAATAAAGAGGACCTCGGTTTCGTGAGCAAGATCTCATTTGTACACGGATTCGAGATTCTTGCCTTCCTCTCATTCATCTCGACTTCTTCTTATTTGCTGACAACGTCCTCCCCTTCTTTGCACACCCCATAACCTCATGACTTGCTTCTATGGTGCCTTCAACCGTTAAAAGATGGTTTAGGCATCCGTCGGCTTGAGTCTCGGAAACCCACTTCAGCATGTCGACTAAGTCCCCACCTCGACACGGCCCGCGCTGGCATTTTCCGACCAGATCCTTTCGCAGAAGCCCCCAGGTTGAACGTTTTCGGCACGGGCCAAGTCTTCTCGTTTCAAATGACAAAAACCTCGTGAAATCGTCAATCTTCAATAAATCGTTCCCTTGAACCCAGCATAAGCCTGCTCCATATCGAAGGTCAAGTCCCTAATTTGCCCCTCGCTCAACTCCTCCGTTGTCCTCATCTGATTCAATGTGATAAGCCATTGGATAATCTTGCCTCGATGGTCGAAGTCTCGCTCGGTGACTTTATTGACGGACTGGATCACATCGCTGAGTAGAGGATGCAAAGTCTCCTTAGAAGACATATTAAGCTTCAGCGCGTCAAGGAAGGTAATGAAATTCTCCGTCGCATCGACGATGAGACGGCTTGACGCTGCTCCTGCGCCTGCCGCAGAGTTGTTGGGATTGTGTGATGGCTGTTCGACAGTCGAGGGCATGCCGATCCGGATACGCTCTGTGGCTCGGGGACATTCAATCTAATAACCGAAAACAACAACGACGTTATTAGCATAACTCGCCTAATCTCAGCCAGCAGAGTCGGGACCAACCTCCCACCGCCTCCCAAACGTCTCCAGATCCCCAAACTCCTTCTCCACCCCCTCATCACTCAGGATCGACTTATACTGCTTCAGCAGCTTGGCGCACATCTCCGTATACTCGGTCTCCGTGACCGCGTCCTTGATGTATGCCTTCTCCAGTCCATCGAGAGTGCGTATGATGCTGTAGATCTCGGCTAGGGAGTCGAGGAGGTCGCGTTCGGTGGATGTGTCGGCGAGCTTGACTTCTTCGTCTAGGCTGATCTTGGCGGAGAGTGACGATGTCGGCGTGTAGCTGTAGGGTGTGGGTGCGTAGGATTGGGGACGGGATGCGGTAGGAGGGTGGCTGCTCGTGTACATTGGGTTGTTTAGGGAGGGGAAGTGTGAAGACCGAGCTATCAAGGTGAAATAGCTAGGGTCGGTGATGTGGGGTTCTGTACGGCGGAACTTTCCGCGGCTGTAAAATAATTTTCGAGGGGCAGCAATTTTGGTTTATGAGTTAGCAGAGTGGGTGACCATTGGTTTTACTCCTGCCGCAACATCTACCACCAGCTGAAAGCAAATACCGATCTGCATTGAGCTCTTGCTCGCCCACAGACCTTCGATAGACATGGCTAAGTCGAAATCGAAGTCTACCAGGAAATTTGAGAAGAATCATCTCAAAGACACCATTGATCGAAGGAAGAACTTCGCCAAAGTCAAGCAAAGACATCAAATCAAGGCAAAGAAGCAGAAACAAGCTGCCAGATCAAATGCTAAGCATGGCGCGCCTGAAGAGGACGAAGATAATGGCGAGCTGGAAGGTGACGGTGGCGAGGACATGAACGACGATCAATTCTTTCAAGAGGAATTGCAGATACTTGCTGCCTCAGCTAGCAAGGGAGGCAAAGCCTCAAAGAAGGATGTGCCACTACAGACGGGAAAGAGAAAAAGACAGGATGAAAATGATAATGGGACAAGAGCAGCAGAGCAGAACGAAGGAGGTATCAACGGCACATCCGGGTCTGGTTCTGACTCAGAGTCCGCATCAGTGATCGAGGATGAGATTGTTGATCATAAAGGCCAGCTCAACGCTCTTGCGGAGAAGGATCCGGAGTTCTACAGATTCCTTAAAGAGAACGATGCGGATCTACTCGATTTTGACGACGAGGGAGATCTGGCAGGCGTTGATGCTTTAAGTGACAGTGAGGGCGACGAGAGACCCATAAAGAAAGCGAAACGAAAACCCAAGGTAGCTGAAAGCGAATTGGAAAGGGATCAGACAACCAAGGTCTCTACAGCCATAGTGCAGAAATGGAAGAAAGCAATGGTGGAACAGCACTCAATCAGAGCTTTGAGGCAGCTAGTTCTGGCATTCCGAGCGGCCGCGCACGCCAATGATGAAGACGAGAAGCAGTTCAAATACTCAATTCCTGACCCAGAGGTCTACCATGAAATCGTCGTCTCCTCATTAAAACATGTTCCGGCGGTATTGAATCACCACTTACCCGTCAAAGAGACTGGCGCTGGCAAGCTACGAATACCGACTGACACCGCGAAGTTTAAGACATTAACACCTCTTATCAAATCACATGCTTCATCTGTTCACTACCTCCTTTCGCATCTCTCTGATGCTTCGACTCTCCGGCTGACATTGCAATCGTTCGACCCTCTACTACCCTATCTACTGCAGTTTCGCAAATTTTTGAAGGTTATCACAAATTCAGTGGTTGCCATATGGTCAGATCATTCTGCTGCAGAAGCCAGCCGCGTCACAGCCTTCCTCATACTGCGCCGGTTGATGGTGATTGGAGATCCTGGCATTCGTGAAGCTGTCCTCAAATCAACTTATGAAGGTATTGTCAAGAGTAGCCGGAACGCTACCATCCACACTCTACCCGGTATCAACCTTATGAAGAATTCAGCTGCCGAAATCTGGGGCATCGACCAGAAAGTAAGCTACACTACAGGTTTCACATTCATTCGCCAGCTTGCCATTCATCTGAGAGGAAACATAACGAAGCCAACGAAGGACTCATACAAAACGATCTACAACTGGCAGTTTGTCCACTCCTTGGATTTCTGGTCTCGCGTGCTATCGACACACTGTAACTCTCTGGTTGAAGCTCAAAATGGCAAAGAGTCACAATTGCGACCCTTGATATACCCGATCGTGCAGATCACGCTTGGTGTAATGCGTCTTATTCCCACATCAACATATTTTCCTCTGCGTTTCCAACTCGTTCGATCACTGTTGAGAATATCCAACGCTACAGGAACTTATATTCCTTTGGCATCGGTGCTTCTAGAAGTTCTGAACTCTGCCGAGATGAAGAAGCCACCGAAACCCGCGACACTGCGGCCTCTTGACTTCTCATCCAATATTCGAGCGCCTTCCTCATACCTAAAGACCCGTGTCTACCAGGACGGCGTGGGTGAGCAGGTCGTTGAATTGTTCTCTGAATTTTTCGTGCTCTGGGCCAAGTCCATTGCCTTCCCCGAACTCCAACTTCCAGTAATTGTAATGCTGAAAAGGTGGCTACGTATGGCTTCTTCGAAAGCAACAGGAAATAAGAATGCAAAGCTCAACCAGGGTCTATTGTTGCTAGTTCAAAAGTTGGAAGCAAACGCTCGGTGGATTGAGGAGAGGAGGAACAAAGTCCAATTCTCGCCAAAGGATCGTGCAGAGGTGGAAGCATTCTTGAAGGATGATGCATGGGAGGACACACCGTTGGGCGCATTTGTTGTGGGACAGAGGAAGCTAAGGGAGGAAAGAAAAAGGGTACTTGAGCAGGGACGGCACGAGGAAGATAAGAAGAAGAAGGTAGCCCGTAGTGAGCAGGATGGTGATGGTGATATGGGTGATATGAATGGCAATGGTGAGCACATTCCTGTTGGTCGTTAGGATAGAAGAGAAGCCATCATTTCAACTTCGTCCGCTGCTGTCGCTGAAAACCCTCGCTCCTGAGCTTCCCTAATGCCACATGCCACTTTACACGGCATTCGCCGTATAATCCATTCCCCAGGTGTTATGCACCCAGCTACTAGTATCACATTAACGTAAGTGCTACTAGAGCACCAATTTCTCTTTTAAGTCACATTGAACGTCGGTTTCTTGCCAAGAAGATATATAATTGGCTAAAATTATGTCAAAAAAATTGACGGCAGGGAAACCAATATATACTCAATCATAAATCACAACGAATCAACGGCCAGTAAGGCAGACTTCGGAGAGTAAGGGTTGCAAGCTTTGGTATTCGGCACAGTCTTCCTGCACCAGTTCTGCTTGTATGGAGGCTTTTAAGTTGCTGTCAAGGTCAACAAACCTGAAGCCGGCGCAAACATTGAGGCGGGAACGGAGAATTGTGCATGTGCCGTCTGAAGGACAAACTCATGCTTCTGTTGATGAAGAGAATGAGGTCGCATCTGCAGCTAGCGTAGCTGGTAGAAAACGGAAGAGAGACATTTTTCCGGCGGCCCATGACCCAGACGAGGCGTTTCCTTCAAATGGTGTCGACAGTCATAAGTCTTCGTCTAATGGCGCAGGGAAAGCTAATGAGACGTCTGGGCATGGAATTCTCTCTCAGGGGAGACCAACAGCAGGTGATCCCACGGCCCCGCAATTACCATCATCAGACGAATGCCGCTCAATCTTTATATCCCACAAGATAAAAATGGCTGCTCTGACAGGAGCCCTGAATATCGATGACTCCAGAAGACCAAGCAGCAGAAGAAGCCCCAGCGTCAAAACGCTCGGCCAGAAACGAAAAAAGAAAGCTTCCAGTCTATATACACATCCATTGACGTCCTTCGCATTACTGCCAACGCTTTACAAAGTCTCAAGGACACTACTAAACAATCTCAGAGAGCAAGGCTACACCACGCCTACTGAAGTGCAGCTCGCCACTATCCCTGTGTTACTCGACCCGGTCGCAGCAGGACTATGTCTCCCTCCTGATTGCCCTCATATTGATCTACTTACCGTGGCACCTACTGGAAGTGGCAAGACCCTAGCCTTTCTCATTCCTCTTATCAACCATCTCATCCATGACCATCATCGAAATACAGAACACGAATCGTCACGTCATGTTAGAGCACTGATCGTTGCGCCCACAAAAGAGCTAGTAAACCAAATCGTGAACGAAGGCAGAAAGTTGTGTACGAACAGTGGTGTATCTATCACCGCCATGCGCAAGGGTATGCACTTGAGCGCTCGAAGTGCTGAATGCACTCTTGAGAGCGGCGATGAAAACGACCATATGACGAGGCCTCTCGATGGTCCTTTGATTGTAAAAGCTGACATCCTTGTCACTACGCCATTGCTGCTTGCAAATACCCTTTCCCAAGATAAGACCAAGCTGTCTTCAGTGCAATATTTCGTATTTGACGAGGCAGACGTGCTCTTGGACCCACTCTTTCGCGATCAAACCCTTTCACTGTGGAAGGCTTGCACTAATCCATCTCTCCGAACAAGTTTGTGGTCTGCTACTGTTGGCTCGAACATTGAGGAGTTGGTGATTGATTTGATCGATGAAAGACAGGCCCGGCTTGAACTCCAAAGCAGGAGTTCATTGCTCCGCTGTATTGTCGGTCTCAAGGATTCGGCCCTTTCAACAATTTCTCATAAGCTCATATATGCCGCCACAGAGCCCGGAAAGCTCCTTGGACTCCGCCAGCTGCTCCATCCATCCACAACGTTGACTAGTAAATATGCCGCCCCACCACTACGACCACCATTTCTAGTCTTCACACAAACGATTGAACGGGCTGTTGCACTTCACGCTGAGCTCCTGTACGACATACCCACCGAAGCCGGAGGCTCTTCTCGAGTCGCTGTACTGCACAGCGATCTATCTGAGTCGAAGCGGTCAGAAATTATGGCAAGATTTCGCAAAGGTCAGATATGGGTGCTTGTTACTACAGATCTCCTGTCCCGGGGAATCGATTTCAGAGGGGTGAATGGAGTGGTCAACTACGATATACCCACCAGTAGCGCGGCTTATGTCCATCGGGTAGGAAGAACAGGGAGAGCAGGCCGAGAAGGTGGGATCGCTGTGACATTGTACACAAAAGATGATATCAAGTACGTTAAAGCAATAGCAAATGCGATTGCTGCGAGTGAGAAAGCCCGTGGCAGGACAAAAGCGACCAGTGGAGAGGACGGCGTCCAGAAATGGCTGCTCAATGCTCTGCCAGACATAAGCAAGAAAGACAGACAGGAATTGAAGAAGAGGGGTGTGAACGTGCGCCGTCCACTTCGAGAAGGAGATGATGACAAAGACGTGAAAGCAAAGCGAACCTCTCGGATCAGCAGCAAGAGTGGATACGAAAGGCGCTTGGAGAACAATCGTAAAGGAGCCATCGCGGCCAGGCAAGACAGGCTGGAGGATGAATCCGAGGGTAGTGAAAGTGATGCGTGGAGCGGTTTCGATGGGTGAAGCCGATCGCGAAAGCAGACTCTGCTTGGACACAAGATTCAGACGATCCTCTGCCAATATGTTTTAATCTTTCTTTTCATTGTCACACAATATTCTCTCGAGGGTAACCTCTAATTTTCTCCTTCTCTTCCCCACGAAGTCCTTCAACCCATCATCATTCCGATCAAAGAAAAGCTGCCACTCCCCCTCATCATCTTGCACAGCTACAAACCCTTCCCAGCCCTCGAAGGTCAACCCTATCTCGTCTTCCTCTGTCCAGTCCCACGGCCCAACGTGATGTTCCCTACTCTGACTCCTGTTGCCATGTTTCAACTCCATTGTATTCTTGTCAACATATATCCAATTAAGCATGGGTGGGTCATCCGCCACCTGCGAGACCAGCCCCAGCGGGGCAGGCTTCCGCTCCTCATCAGGATACTCTATATAGAATGCGCAGAGGGTGTAGGAGGGCTTGCCGGAGGAGGATGAGAGGTAGGCCTGTGTTTCGACAGAAGTCAGCCCAGGAGAATATGCCTTCCAAGCACCACATTTATGGGATATCTCTACCTTTCCGTCCCTCAATACCACCCGCTTGCCCTGCACCTCCCTCGCTCGAGTCGATCTGCTCTCATATTGCGCCTCTAAGTAGAATTTCGCCATGCGTTTCTCATCTGCTTTGGATGCATTTTGCGCCCTCTGCTGGCTCACGCCTTGACCTACCCCGATTACGGTTGGGATTGCTGTGAGGGTTAGGAGACCTAACATGCTGGTCGTGTTGTCTGTGGAGCGTTCGAAGTTGATAAATACAGGTGAGCGTCGTAGCAGATCGTCAGGGAGGTCATGAGTTACCCAGCGGAGCTCATGTTTGTTTGTCTGGAGACCTTCTACTTAGTTATGGGCTATGTCATAGTGCAGGTGCCAAGCATTAACTATGTCACACATGACGGGAGAGTAACGTGCTTAGAAGATGAAGTCAAGCGTTTCTCTTTCATTGTCACAAATAAATTAAGCCTGACTTCACGGAGGTCGTGCTATTCTACGATTTTAGATCCGAAGACCACAATTTTGGTGATAGCTTACACAAACCCTTGAATGCTAAAATGCCTGAAGCTGAAGATCACTTGCCCATGCATGGTAAGCGATGTTTGCTGCGCCTGTTCACTCACTGACCTGCCTGCGACAGGCGCTCAGTCCATGACCTACCCCAGCTCTACACCAAACCGTCTGCCTCCGTTTTGCTTCACACGCTTGATGGACTTGAACAAAAACCACCTTCGCTCTCCAATGTCATGCAGGACCGCGATGGTCCACTCAGGCAAATTTACCCCAATGGCCTGCCTGGATACTTGACTTCCATCATTTCCTCTTCCCTCCATTGGATTGTAGATGAGGATTTGAAGGAGCAAATATGGACAGCTGCAAGTGCAAGACTCAGTGAGAGATCTGGAAGGACCGCTATGCCTAGCATGATGAGGGCTTTTGATGTGCCTGTATCCAAAGGTCCAAATGCTAGGATTCAGTTGGCTGAGCCATCCTTGACGAGCGACAATCTGGGATTGAAGACTTGGACATCGTCCGTCTTGCTTTCGAGACGATTGATTTCACTGCATCGACACGTGCATCAACCTCATCCACGGGTACTTGAACTTGGCGCCGGGACTGGATTGGTTGGTATAGCTGCTGCTTGTTGCTGGGCAGCCAGTGTAACATTGACAGACCTTCCCGAGATCTTGCCGAATCTGCAGGGGAACATTGACAACAATAACAAAGTGATGGAAGCTTGTGGAGGCAATGCCCATGGACTGCCTCTTGATTGGGCGGATGACACAAACTGTCCGGAGGATGATGATGGCCGTTATTCTATTATTCTTGCGGCCGACCCCCTATATTCATCTGATCATCCTAAGATGCTTGTCGAAACCTTACAACGATGGATTGGGCATACCGCGGATGCAAGGTTCATCATCGAGTTGCCTCTTAGGGACGGCTATGAGCAGGAAAGGGAAGATCTAAAGACCAGACTTAGTGACATCGGCTTAGAAGTTGCGGAAGAAGGGTACGAACATGGTGCGGAAGACTGGGAAAATAGGGTGGGTGAGCAGGCTGTGGGGAAATATTGGTGGACCGTGTGGTGTCACAGGGCCCCGGCACCGGATGCGTGAAAGATCCGTCCTAACGGCTCATCAAGTTGCGAGAATGACAGGCTTCATGAAACACATGCTCATCTCCCAAGACATAGAGCAGCATGAGCTATTTTCGAGGAGCTTGGACAGCAGAGAATGCTTCGATGGCTCGGTGGAGTTAGCTAGTCAATCACACCGTTTAGCCGTATTAATGATGTCTGCGCCGGATCCTGGAAGCTATGAGTCAAGTTCAGAGAGATTGCGGCCCACAAGGTGCATGCAAGGCATGAGCTTGGAAGCTTATCAGAACGGACACCAACACTCATTTGCTTAGGGCTGGTCTTAGCCCCTTCGATAGGCTGTGCGAATTACCGAAATAGGAATGTGGCGTTAGCTGCCCCGGATCCAGCCAAATCCGAAGCAGAAGATGACTTCACGCAGCAACAACTCTCACTGCTTGCATCCAGACTAAGTAACTCTCTCCACCCAATTTGGATAGCTTATTCTAACGCCTTCCCTTTTCAGGATAGTAGTTGTAGAAGATCACCGCTGCTCTAAGGCGATATGTTTACTTCACACTTCAGCGCCTCCCGTGCGAGCAGCCATCGCTGCAGAGTTTCCATTTGACTACACTGAAAACGCGCCGCGCCGGAACGTGTTCTCTCCACGTTAGCTCCACTCTCCTTGTGGTCAGATGGATCCATTCCCGTCCCGAGAGGCAGTGGACACAGATCATGACCAAGGAGTTATTTGACGAAAGCTTCTGTGAGCACTACACGGGAAGCGGCCTTGAAAGTCTACATGAACTAGAAGGGCGTTGGTGTGAGTATACAGACATACAAGTATCGTGTCACATCCCCCAATTTATATATCCATCAGCTCTTTCAGATCAATTTGTGTACCTGCATATCACCTTCTCTCCAACCAACACCGAATCCAGCAGCCTTTTCCACTTGATTCCATCAACATGAAATTCCCATCTTCAGTCATAGTAAGCTCGCTGCTCGTCGGCTCAACACTTGCACATCCCGTGGGCCTGGGAAAGCGACAAGAAAGTGAAAACATTGATGGCACCGTCCTACAGTTTGCCCTTTTTGTATGTCTTCCAGTGTGAGGCCCCTTCAATAACAAGACTGTTGCTGACATTAAAATCAGCTCGAACACCTCGAGAATGTCTTTTACAAGCAGGCTCTGAGCTCCTTGTCGGAGCAGCAGTTTATCGATGCTGGATACGATGCCAAATACTACTCAGATATCAAATACATTGCTTTCGATGAGGAGCAGCACGTCAAGCTCTTGACCAGTGCCCTGACTGAGGCCGGTGTCACACCAGTAGAGGCTTGTGAATACAACTTCCCCTTCACAGATGTATGTTCTCCTGGTCGGTCTTTCAACCTTACCCATCCTAACAACTACAGGTCGAGAGCTTTATCTCCTTGTCCACCGTCTTGGAAGGTGTTGGCAGCAGCGCATACACAGGTGCAGCCGGCCTCATCACATCTAAGGAATACCTCACCGTCGCCGCCTCCATCCTTGGTAAGTCTGCCTCACAGTTGATATTTAAATATGTTTAGTAACAAGACTCTACAGCCGTCGAAGCGCTCCACACCTCCCTGCAACGATCAGCTCAAGGCCTTGTCCCCGCAGCAAACCCGTACATGACCCCGCTCTCACCAAACCCCGTCTTCACCCTCGCCGCAAGCTTCGTCGTTTCCTGCCCAGAAACCAACGCTCCCCTCCCATTCGCAGCCTTCCCCGCCCTCTCATCCGACAGCGGCTCACCGCTCGCCATGGGCATGCCAGCTCACTTCTCCTTCGATGGCGACGCAGCCGGCAAGTACGCCACCTTCGTCAGCGGCCTCACCGTCGCCAGCGTCATGATGGAGGGTTCAGGAGACTCATTCGAGGTCGTCATCCCCGAGGGCATTTCAGGCCAGAGCTACGCGTTCGTCACCAACGCCGATGTTACCGGTGGTCCGGGATCGTTGACGGACGCGGCCATCGTTGCTGGACCCGCGGTGATTGAGGTTACTCCTGATGCTCCGGATTATGATCCTTCATACGAGTAAAATGCCAGATGGTAATGCGGTGGGGTGGCGGAGATTTTTGAGACATGATCTTTTGGTCTGATTAGTTAATATCATTGGAATAGCAGAATAACTCTTTGTACATAAAGTTGGATTCTTCCTGCATGATCTTCGAGCCTCTCGAATCTACGTGAAGGCAACATAATTACAAAAACGTTTACCACTCACGACTCAGAGCTTTCTGGTTGTTTTTATGTCTCTTAACCTTGCTGCGCTGTGAGGAATGTGTGCATCTACATCGCCATGTCTGACGCTCCACGGATTGCCACTCCACCATTCTAGGGATCAATTTCGATTCGTCGTGTAAGCATCTAACTTACAACAAGCTGCAGCTGGCATTTTGGGTTTTTCGTCTAAGAAGACATGATTGGAGATGCTGTCAATGCACCGACATCGTTCAATATACGATCCAGGGCACGACCGACCCTGCCGCAGCATCGCATCGCATCGTGAACGCAACTTGGCACACTGCAACCTTCTCCGACCGTGTGTGCGCTCTCTCGCGTTGTAGCCCCATGATGGACCTTGATGTTGCTCGGGCGCCTGAGTGCAAAAGAGATCATGAACGAACGAATCATGTTCGCCACCCAGTACAGTACAGTACAGTACGGTAGATAGACACGTAGGGATTTGGTGTTCCGAATATCTCTTTGTGTCTTGGAGATAACGCGTTCGTGGGATAAGAGCGTGATGAGTGCGGCAGGGAGATTGCATGTCTCTGCCCACTCCAAGCATGGACGGTATTGAATTTGACGGTTTCGGAATTTCTGGATCAGGGAAGATCCGGAAATATTTACACAGGTCCGTCATGACCGTGGTCACTTACTCAAGCAGAAGTCCCAAAAGCCCCTGGTGATGTTTTCTGCCAACACACAAATTTTGTATTATTCCGTATGCTACTTTGTAGAATGTGACCCGGTGCCCCGGGCTGGGAGAGTCTCTTGGCGCGCAGATATTAGCTGGCCAAGGATTGAAGGCCAGCGTTCTATCTCGTACTGAACAAAAGGCTGCCATTGTGCACCTGCCTACCCTGCTATCCGCCTGATTTATCATACCTAAAACTTCAGAGCAGGAAAACTAGTTGAAGTTAAGACCAATAAACCTTTAACCACTAACTAGATAATATAGATTTCAGAAACATTGTATTGCGCAACGAAGAATTGTCAGACCTGCAAGCCGTACGATCCCGCCTTAGGCCGCACAGGCGGTAATAAGCTGGATCAACGAGGAATCCTCCTCGTCAAGGCTCACAACCAGCTTATGTATCTGCACCTCCTGGCATCCCTAACAGGAATTCAGTATGAACAACCAAAGCTGCAGCTCCGAGGTATACGCCAAGCTTTCCCAACTCTTTTGAAATGGGCATTAATACTCTGGGTTTCACAATCCCTGAAAGTGCTGCCTGATTTTGGCGCACCCTATTGTCAAACGCCACAGACATCATTACAAGATTCATAAATTCAAACTCCTTTGGACAATTGCAAGCCCGTCGCTCTTCACAATGACAACGTCGCCTCTAGGAGTCACCAGAGCTCTTATGCGGTGGCTCGAGCTCCGCCAGCAGTGTGGCACTGGGAAGTGGCGTGTGTACGGTTTGTCTGAGACTTGATCTTCGATCGACATTGAACAGATCCAGCCGTCATTGTTAAGAAACACGAGCTGAGATTTGTATATGCCGATCAGATTCTGGGTTTCAGGAGCAACACGGTTGAATCGCTCCAGTGTAGCTCGAGTCACGGCAACAGAATTAGGTGAAGCAGAAACCTCCCAAACGATGGGCCGAGTGAACGGATCGCTGTCGTAAGCTGCCAACATATTCTCGCCAAACTTGACGAAGTAGACACCGCTGTCTCGAGTATCAAAACTGACTCGTTCTATCGGTTGTGTCACCATGCTCTCAGTGGTAGGTGGCGAGTTACTGTCCCGTGACCATCTCGCAGCGTGAATGCCGTGTGATTCAATCTCATAGAGTCGTCTCTTGTGTCAAGGGTGTGTGGTCCACTTTTGTGACGGGGTTCTAGTCGGCTCCGGATGCTCACACTGGTGCGTGAGTGTATCGTCTCCGTTTAATGTCCACACATGGTCCGTGAATGGGTCAGATAACAGGAGATATTCACCATCAACACTGCTGATGATTTGTCGTATCGGTGACTCGATTCTTCGCTCAAGCACTGGGAAAATCTGCCAATTAGGCCTTATTCTTGTCGAAGTCCTTAAGGCCGCTCTATCTAGATCGAGCTATACGTGGGTGAACCGCGCAACTACACCGTACTGCGCTGCGCAACCCTCAAGACGTTCAGCTATTCGTTATTCCATGTAGCCTTTTGAGTTCCTGCATTGCTTCTGTCGTCGAAACTCGGGGTGATTCACCGTTCTACTTGGTCTTTGGCGGCCATGGCACAAGCTGCATGGCAAATCAGAGAGAAGCCTTTAGACAGGCTCGACAATGTTGAGAAAGACCGTAGCTGGACAACGCGTGAACTCTCGTCCTCGTCATTTGCACCAGAAAAGCATATCATGCTGATGGTAGTGGACAGACCTCCCTCCCGGATCAGAAATTTTATCGATGGAGCCCTCTGGAGCAGCAAGCTTCTGGTCGAGGACGGCGCGGATCAATGTGCGCTTGTCTACAGGCGAGGATAAATCATATTTTTTCAAGGTTGGTCTAACAAGCGATATATCCTTGTCTCTATGCCTCAGGCTAAATCATGACCTCTGCAGCTTATGCACGGTGAAAGGGGGAAACTCATGGCAGAACGCGAATACAAATCAACGCATGCTATACACAGTTGCACCTGACATGGTCCCTGAACCATTAAGCTGGAGTACTCTCGAGGCCAATCCAGATGGACACTTCTTTCTCTGCAAATTTGTCAACCTGGCCGACGAAATCCCCGACCCCTCCTTGGTCTGCAAGAAGCTGGCAGAACTTCATAGAAAAAGCATCACAATGTCACCGAATGGGATGTATGGATTCGAAATGCAACTTGCAATGGCATCTTCCCTCAGGACAACACCTGGAATGATTCTTGGGAAGCTTTCTTTATCCAACAGATGGATGGTGCATTTAAGGCAGAAGAGGAGGTACGTGGATCCTGCGAATATTACAGGCGGCTGCTGCCGCCGTTGTTTGAGAAAGTCATCCCGCGGCTTCTAAGGCCACTAGAAACGGTGAAAACTCACTGAAGCCCGCACTCGTCCATGGTAAGGATACACCGGTTGAACACTTAAGACGTACTGACGGCTACTCCAGGGGATCTTTGGGACGGCAATGTGTCATTCCTTGTCGAGACTGATGAGTTCGACTCGCTTGCTCTATCCTTGCCAGCAGAATAAATCAAGTGAGGCTGACCATCATAGGCCCTACATCTATGATGCCAGCGCCTTCTGGGGACACAACGAATGTGGGTTTTAAACATTTCCCCTTCATTAAGGCTCTAACCCATACTGAATTGACACTAGATGATTTACATAATTAGCAAGGTGCCAGGTTCAGCCTAAGCAAAGAGTATGTCAAGGAGTATTTCAAAAATTTCCCAATGTCTTCCCCGCAGGAAGACTAAGATAACAGGAATCTCTTATATTCCATGTAAGGTTTTTGACATTGCAAAACCTCAGCCGCTCGTACTAAACCTCTGTTCAGATGAGCTGATCTCCACTTATCCTTCCTGCATCCCTCGACCACGAAATTTCGTGCACTGTAAAGCCTCGACACACCTTGATTTTCTCATACAACCTACTAATTCCCGGCAGTGTAGTAGCTGCTATCGAGGAACTTGTGCGAAAATTTCTGAATGGTTATGAGGGTTCTTTCGACTGCAAAGGGCGAAGGGCCCGAGACAGTGTTTCATTAGGGAAAGCTGTCTCGAGAGATGTTCATGGACGCTGCACCCCCACAACGGTTGGTAGTGGCATGGTTGTTGATCAGCAGGACGAGATGGTCCCCAGCGCCGATCCGTACAGGCAGATTCAGGGGCCTACATCCATAAAAATGGAAAATGCAGCGGATGCCATAGGCATGGCCGTATACAGCCCAGAAAACACTGGGTCTGAAGTTCGTTTTGGGGAGTCAGCGATCAGCCCGATGAGTGGTTCGGAAGCAGGCATTCACAAGCGCTATGAGCGCTTCGACTCTAGCAGCTGAACAATGATTCGTTGCTGTTCAAAGAGAAATTGCCGTCCCGGATTGATGATCTGCGTAGTTGCGAGCACCACTTTTTGTTACGTCCTCGCACTCCAATGGTGTTCAGCCCCCTTATACTTGTTAAGACTGACCCAAGGCAAATGTTAAAATTTCACAATGGCAAGATATCTTGCACTACCCAGCAGCCGACATATTCGGCTGCTGCGGCTTCAGTCTAGCCCCTCGCCAAACGAAATCAATGGTACACTTATTACCGCATCTCTCGATGACCTAGAGCTTGAAACCATTCACAGCTATCATGCACTGTCTTACGTATGGGGCGAGATTGATTCGGGCCACGAGATCATCCTCAATGGCTGGTCTTGCTTGGTCCATAAGAACCTTTGGTCTTTCTTCTTGCATTACAAGCATGATGAGTTGTCGTCCTACCTATGGATCGATGCGCTATGTATTGATCAACAGAACATAGCAGAGCGCAACAGTCAGGTAACTTTGATATCAGAGGTTTACAGAGGCGCGCAGAGTGTGCTTGTTTGGCTCGGACCAGCAGACCTCAATAGCAACCATGCCATAGACGTTATCAATATTCCGGATCGTCGCTTAGCGATATATAAGAACTTAGCTGGATCCGTCTCCGAGGACGCTGAAGAAGCACTAGTAAATCTCTTCTCACAGGAGTATTGGCACAGGACATGGACCATACAGGAGTTTTTACTGGCAAAGAAGTTTGAGATCGTATGTGGTTCCAAGCACATCAATGAGCTAGTGATAGGAGATTTCTGTCAGGCGCTAGGGATAATCCGGTGGGAAAACATGAGTCGTCTCACGAACCTATTGAACACTAGAGGCCTAGGCCTTCTCAATCAGCGCAGCCGGAAAATGAAGAAGGCCTCGCTTCTTGATCTAGTGGTCCAAAGTCGTGCATCATTGTGTTCGGACCCTCACGATAAGATATATGCCATGCTCGGTCTGGCGTCCGATTGCACAGCTGAGAGAACAATTCCAGTCGATTATTCAACACCACTCGAAGAGCTCTTCTGTAGGGTGTTGACCTTTTGTGATATACATTCAAATGACATTTTCCAGTACGCGCATCTCCTGAAGCATGCCCTGAAGATCAAAGCACCAAAGCAACCCAGAAAAGAAAGTTCAAGGACAGAAGCGGGCACAAAATCCAAGAGACTTGCCAGATCTTCATCTAGTCCAACACGAAAACCTATCGACCATGATGACTGTACACTGGAGGTGTTCGGCTTCGAAACAGGTAGACTGGTTGCAGTAGGGGAGCCCGTCCAGTTGCAATCTCCGCTCGAGCATCATACAGCCATGTCTCCCTTCAAACTAGAGGAGCTGATGAACTTTCTTCCTCGATACCCATTTACAGAAGGTTTGTATGGTAAATTAGACTATGGCTGGGATATAATCACAGGTTGACTCGTTCGACCTTTCAAGATTAAATGTCCGCATTCAGCTGCTGGAATCCATCAGTGATCGCTCCTTTCCGACTTCGAAAATGATCGTCAAGCCTCAGTCCTCAATGTCTCCCCGTCTTGCAGGCGCAGCCTCAATGTTCCCGCATCGCATTTCGTGGCCTTTTGTCGCGGCACTGACTTTTGGCCATTGCAGCAAGAATGATAGAGTGGTCCAGCTGCCCGGATTTGATATCGCGTTGACAATGTCTGCGGAGGAACTACCACGTCTCACCGGTGTATTGATATGTGCTAGAACGGAGGAACGGCAAGATTCGTATCGCGGTCAGAATTTTCGACATTCCAGGATTTCAAACATGACTTCATACGCAGCCCAGCCGATTCTCGAGACATGGAGGGCACGGTCAAGCTCCGCATGACCCCTTATGACCTGCTTGAGCTTGTGCGCTAGGATGAGGTCTTCAGGGATCGTCTTTGAAGTTTTAGGCTGTGCTGTCAGATAAATTAGTCGACTTCTGGTATATAATTGTGGGATTCTGATTGCGACGAGGCTACATATCCGTGTCCTGACGTCTTGGAGCTGGAGCGTAGTCGTCCGGGAGAGATGCGTTCAAGGTGTAGCGGCCAGCGAGGTTGGAGAATTTTGTTTGAGATGACAATGCCATAGGTTTTATCCCATCCGCCGGCAGACAAGGGTGCTATCTGATGCTACCAACGCTGTCGATCTTGTTGATTTGATCTGCAATAACTTTTACCACGTGAGTTTTGCCGTCTACTACTTTGAGATGGTATTGTCAGAATCCCTGCGCATACGATACGTATCTGTTACGTATTAGCAGGATGATACAGGGGTCCCCGCATGCGAAACGCACGAAACGCTCTTGTAACTTTTACGCCCTGTTATTTATGGCAGTGAGCATTGCTATACGAATTGAACGCTAAATGCTGTTTCTGAGCTGTTGCAGTAATGCGCTCCTATAGCTATTAGTGTGAGCAAATGCTCCTCTTGATAGGAGTAACTCAATCAATTCAATTGGTATCTCCGTACGCTATTTGCTACATCCTCTAACAGGTATAAGTCCACGGTGGGTGCTATGAAGCCTAGCAAGATCTAACCAGTCTGGTCCCATATTGGAAGAAAAAATGTGGTGACAACTCTTATCACTAATCTTGTTTGAGCTTATTTGGGCAACATACGTTAATGGCATCAGTGCCGCCAGGTGGGATAACTATTGCCTCCTACAATGATTACTGCGGTATCCAGTCTATCAATATAATATACTACTCTCGCACTGCTTCCGATGTAGACAGACATCCATATCCACACTAAACCAGGACAAGCATCATCTAGATAGTTTAACTTGCAAATCTCATGTCATGGATGCTGAGACATCCTGTGTCATGCTCCATTTTGGATCTTCAGATGTTGGATAGCTCGGAATGCCTCGATACCAAAAGCTTCCATTCGTTCAATGTTGTTCTGCCAATCGACCCAGACCAAACCATGAAGTAGACAATCCGGAAGATCGTTGAACTTCACCAGACTGCCCAGAGCCTTTCTCCCTGACTTTTTGATGCCTCCGTTTGATATAGGCTCACAATGTAAGTATCTTGAATATTTGCAAATATACTTGCAACACTTACTACGTGTCGAGCAGGATAAAGAAATGGCTCTGTTCTCTCTCAAAAGCTGCGTAGGGCGGAGAAATAAGTACAAATTCGCCACACGGCACAGCGAAATTAGAAGCGAAATTGCAGTAGAAATTGACCAATCAAAAGCAGGCGAAACGCAGGGTTTCGCGTAGAAAATCCAACCAATGAGCGCTCCTGCAGTTCAAACTACGTGATCTTTTAGCCAAAGTACTACTAGCGTCTAGCTAACAATCCTTAGCTAGCACCGCGCTTGCTAGGTCTTGCTTTAGTTAGGGTGGTTCTAGATGAGCACGGGCTGTCAAGAATTTTGTCACATCAAAAACGGGGTTGTTGTTTGGACAGACGAAACCGTAGGAATATATTCTATTCAATGGACCACATTAGGGCTGTAATAAAGAAATGAAGAAGTTACGGGTAGGTAATTTGTGTGTTTTGTTTCGATTTATCCACCACCTCAACTCGCGCAAGGTTTGGGTTACGCTTGGGCGAGTCCGCCTAGTTTCGCGAGGCGCATCCCAGGCTAACTTACCAGATGCTGGGCAACTCAGCCTCATACAGTGTTCTCTCCGTTCCCATTTATGGTGACCTGGTCATCTGAGTAGGCTGCAGAAGCACCCCATCTACTCAAATATATGGTCTCATGGCTGATCCTATATCCGTCGCTGGAACGGCCGTAGGGGTTGTTTCCTTAGGCTTGGCTCTCTGTCATGGATTGACTGAGTATCTTCAAGCCTTGGAATGCAGAAAAGAAGACCTCGAATCAACATCCCGTCAGATCGATTGTCTTCAAAATGCGCTGAACGTCATCAGCGTTGCGCTGCCAAAATTATCGTCAGACCATCACAATGCTGGACACGCGGTTGAGAGGTGCCTCCACTTGTGCAAAGATGAGATGAAACGATTATCCGATAGGCTGGAAGTGTTGAAACATCAGTCACACTCTGATAGCTTCGACCAGAAGCTTCGACTGCAGGCGCGGAAGCTTGCATACCCGTTCAAGCAGGGTAGCTTACGTCGTCTCGAGGACAGTGTATTGAAAATCAACGAAATTTTATCTACGGCATTACAAGCAGCGGGGTTGTCCGTCACACTTAATTCCTTCTCTTTTGTCTACCCATATCCATGGCACGTCTCGCGCAAATATGTGACTAACTCTGCAAATCTAGGGATGTCAGTGGTGCTCAGCTTGAAACGCTCTCGCTCCTCGCAACAAAATCAGAGAATACGGCTCACAATGTGTCCTCAGTCATAGACAGCGTTTCGACACTGAACTCAGACCTCAAGTCAGTTAAGTCTATGCTGTCAAGGAATAATGATCGCACAATATGTCTCAGCTCCATGATCGAACAAAGTGTTCCCAAGATTCGAGATGAAATCTCTACCGCAATCCCGCAGATCCAGTCCGCTTTGCCCAGAATAGAACTCAGTGTTGCAAAAGCCGCCTCTAGCAACTTAGATATAGCCCAGATTTTGACGGTGATGTCTGGAGACATCGAACGTGTTGAAGAAAACCTCAATGCTTCAAGGGAGACGCAAGATCAAAGGATGAGACTCATGCAAGAGTTCCTCAGCAATCTACACCAGTCCCAGTCTCAACAGCTAGCACGTATAGGGAGCCTGGTATGTCCCTAAACAGACTATTCCTGTTCATTGCTCACGGTAGTGAAGGAGAAAGAAATGAGGGGCCAGCGGCTGCCCTTACTTCCAAGTTTTTATGCCCCACCAGGAATCTCAGATGATTTTGATTGGCAGCAATCTGCGAACAGTTCCATCGCGTACAGAAAGAAGTACAAGCGCCGGTCTTCGCCTGTTCAAACGGGAACTCGGGACTTGGGATTGTCCCTCTGCATTTGTCCTGCAAATTATGCTTTCAAGCACTATCAGTGTCTTTCTAGGGCAATCTCTCTTTTCTACAGCAACGAGAGATATGAGACACACCTCCCTCAATGCCCATTCTACACTTCTCCCCAGCAAATCCGGAAACTTGGAGCAAGGTTTCATTCCGTTGGCTACCTGCTGTCCACAGCCATTCTAGCCACGGTATCGATGAAAACAGGAGCTAGCAGCTTTTCCATCACCCCTCACCTCTCCTTTAAGGCGATTGTACCATCCAGCTCTCCCGCATTTGCCCTTTTCTCTTGGAAGAATTACGTACGCTCCGCCACAATCAGTGAGATCCTGGATTCAATTATGCCAAGGTTATTGAGACTCTTTGCTGAACGACAGGCGTCCCCCACAGATGTAAATGAATTAGGGCAATCTCTCCTTCATGTAAAACCCACGTATATGGCTTTTTGTTTATAGACACTGATTGACTTAGGTTGCTTTAATGTTCATGATTCGGGGTCTTGAATTAGATCTCAGGACACTGCACTCTCTCCATCAGCTACTTCTGAGCCTTTTTGCTAGTGGTGTTCCTGCAGATACATGTGATATGACTGGCCGGTAAGGGATAGTCGTCTATATAGCTAGTTTACCTCTGCTGACCCCCTTTATAGATCCATCCTAGACACATGGATCCACGTTCTATCCTGGACGAATCTCGGCAGTGATAGCACATCAGCATCGATGAGTATTACTTCGGAGCTGGTTGACCACGGAGCAGAAATCTTGACTTCTGTTGGGCAGTCCTGGCTTTATCATAAAGGATCATATATGATTTCATCCTTTTTGAGGCTCTATGATTTTGCAGAGAGTAAGCAATGCTTCGACCTTGATTTTCATGTTACTGAGTTTGACCAGCCTGTCGATGTGGTCCACTTAGTATGGCTCTCATCCGACGCTCTGAGAAAGATGTCAGGCGCATTCTCGCAAAAGTCCCTTCTGCCTTGACTGAACGAAATGCTGTCGGCCAAACGCCGCTTCACATTTCGTGTGGCTGGCCTTTGGGTATAAAGTTGCTCCTGGATGCTGGGGCTCAAGATATCATTGATTGCACGGACAATATTGGCCCCCGGTATCCTGCGTTCGTTTACGCAAGTGAGTTCTCCTGCCTAGAAAGCCTTGAACTGTTGCTTGAAGCTGAATGTAGCTTCTTTCCCCTCTGCTCAATTGGAGGACAGAACAGATATTCCTGTAGCTTTGATTTCGCACTTCTATCGGGATCTCAGGATGCAGGTAGCCGACTGATCCAATCGTTGACTGACAGACGAGAGCGCTTGAAAGCATTGGCTTTGGATAATCTACCATTCGAAGAGACTGCAAAGTTCAATCTTTGCAGCAACACGATCCTCGATGAGAAATCATATGATATATATGCCGCATTGCAAGCCAATGCAGTCAACGTTCCCGAATCATTGGCTGTCCCATCAGCGCGAATATCTGTGTATCACATGTATTTTTTATCTCCGGGATTGGCTGAGGAAATGTACAAAAGAGGTTTTCATGACATCGACGCATATGATGGGCATGGACTCACTCCACTCATGAGCCATCATTCCACGGACTTATGCTTGGAATTTTGGCTGTTGTCCCACGGAGCAGATTTACATGCCACGCCCAATGTGTTACGGAGAAGCAACATGAACCTTGATGCTACCGCCGCGCATTACCTTGGTGCTAAAATCGCACATCAATTTATCAGTTACGATTTGGACAGTCGCTGCTCTAAGCTTGATTCAAAAGTGCACGATCTTGCTAACCTGCTCTGTTCCATCTTCGAACCAGACATTTGTTTGTGCGGCTGCTCCAGCAGAGGCTGTCACCCAGCCACCATGATGTTCAAAGAATTTGTTTGGCGTCTGGATATGGATGGGAGTATCAAGCACTTGTCGTGGATTGGCCAGATCATGCGTCAAACTTCTCTAATCGATGATGCTCCATGCTGGCTGCCCGGTGAAGCGATACGAGTTTTCACGTTCGACGCACTGAGTATTAGACATACATGTTGTAGATACGACGGCTTGTGGATCTGCTTGAGGGAGGAAGAAGAGAGAGAAGAGCTGCGCGAAGAAGATCGTTTCCGTCTCCAACTGCTTGAGGAACTGGTGGCAGAATTCGAAGAAAAGTATACCGAGCTTGAGGTGGGACTGGTGGAGTTCTTTGAAGGATACTGGTTGACACGAATGACTGCAGTGCTGTATGAGGGGGCTACGTTAACGGATAGAGACGAAGAGGAAGTTAGACGGATTGAGGCGATTGGTGTGATTTTGGATAGGGAGGGAGTCTGACATATCGAGCTGATCTAGAAATCAAATTCTTACGCACAACATACAACCGCCACAGTGCATTGCTATGCTTTTTCGAATTAATGATTCGACTGCTCGAGGCTTACCTGTATCTTGTAATTACAGTGCTGGGCTTTCTTCACTGGTGAATACTGTGGTATCCTGCACCGAATCTTGACCACGCGTTGGTACCCAGTTGGGTTCATCGTTTCTGCTGCCTGACCCAGAAATTTGTCACATGGCTCAACTTCGGCTCAACCTCTGCTCAGGCCGCACCGCCACTGCTCCCGCTGCTTACCCTCTTGCTCATCCTCTGTCCTGGTGCTGCTCAGGGGACTTAGTCTGGCTTCACTCATACCGCTTTTGGACTCTTACTGTTAGACGGCCACAGCCTAACAGAAAGAGGCGAAGAAAAGACGCAGAAAAGGCGCAGAAAAGGCACTGTTTTGTGTGATGGAAGTATGTAGATTCTATCTATGGCCTGCAGACGGCTATAAGACCCATATTTGGCGTGCGGCAGGTGTACAGCAGGTGCATGACACTTACTATTATTGATAATTGTTGAGAAGTGCATTCGGGACCCATTCGAGGGCTATGCACGGAGCATGCGTAGGCCGTACGCAGGCATGCGCAGGGCACGTCAAGGTCATGTGATATATCACATGACATCAATGCTAGCGCAGATATATAAGTATCTGCCCCTATTCTAGATAGAATCTATAATCTCTCTGGCCACGCCATGGCAACATACTGCTTCTGCCCTGTCTATTTCCAACAATAATCATGTCTTGCTCACAATTATCGTCCCTTTAAATTTTGGTTAATTTCTACACAAAGGTCTAATAGCCTAGTTTTAAGACCTCTAGAAGGGATAACACATTAAATCCTTACTAGTGGTAACGTTTTCAAATTGAACACATATATATAAGATTAGATTTTAAAAGTTTTTGTAGATTTCATAGCCAAGGGGAGACCTCTAGGGACCCCTCTTTATTTTTTCTACTTTTTTTTATATCTTCTTGTATTTAATAGAAGAATAAAGGATTATTTTATACACACTTTCTATACGTTTTTTCAGTGCAATCTATATGCAAATTCTGGCAAATTCTGCGCATTCTACGTGCCAATTCCATGCCCTCTTTCTTCGCATCCTGCGTGTCCATTCTGATTTTGATGGGGTATGGCTTGGCAAGAGTTCTGCAGCCTTGGCCCACTAACGCACTGCTTATTTGCTAATTAATCCCAAGAAGGCATGCAATCGTGCACTTTGACTAATTGAAAAGATAATTTCCGTAGGCCGCATTTTCAAGCTAATTGTCGCAATAGCCAATTGGACGAGCTTGGCGGTCCTTTCACATTAGATAGATGATTTCAAGTCTAATAATTAGGGCTCTGCAGAGCGGAGTGTTATTCAGTATGTTAGATTTGAAGTTCTTGCTGTTAAAGCTGCAGCAAATTTAATCTAGTTAAACCTACAGGAACGTTAAAATCAACTAGGCAGGTTCACCAGTTCAGTTCAGTAACACAGGGGATAATGATTACCAAACAATTATATTATCTTCGAGAAAATGCTCTTAAAAATCTAAGAAATTTTGTAACTGTATTGGAAATAGAACATTCTTAGTACCCTCCTCTTTAACAGCAACCTCAACAGTAGAAGGATTCGGACCCACAACCGAGACGCCGCCCTAAGGGTCTCGCCCCAACCGCACTAGGCTTAGTCTTAGGCCAACCAGGCGGTGCGCTGCCAACTGCGCGCCATCCAACTAACTTATGTGGCGTTTCGCACATGCATGTAGTTAGGACGCCAGTCAATCATCAACCTTTATCCCTTGGGAGATTCTAGATCCTCCGCCATCTCTTTCCCACGTGCCAACTTCTCATCCGCTGTCAAGTCGCTCTCAGCCTTGCGTATCCGCACGAAGGCAATCATTATGGCGAGCGCTGCCAACTGAACAGCGAGCTGATACCAGAACACAGCCTGATAACTCTCCTTCAGGCCCAAATGGGCTGTTTCAAAATGCGTTACGTCTGCGAAGGAGAGTACAAAAGCGATTCCAAGGAAGAGCAAACTGTTGAGCAATGCTCCAGCGAGTCCTTGCTGGCTTGTTAGAAGACTTGTGGTGATGAACACGTTGGCCACGTTGTAACTGATGTCAATTCCGACAGTGGCGCCAATCATAGCGGGGAAAACGTAGGCCCAGTAATTGGCTCCTGTGGGAGCCAAGGCAAAAAGTAAAGACGTGATGATCCAGCCAAAGGCACTTATTATGAGCAACACCGTGCCAGAAAGCAGATGAAGAACGTAGCCACCAGTAATAGCGATGATGCAACCTCCTAGACCCATTGGTGCGAACCAAGCCACAAGTTGCAGGGGCGAGCCTCCCATTATGTCCTGCATGTAGAAAGTTCCGTAGAGAAGGAATACCCCGAACACGCCGTACGAGAGGAACAGGGACAGGAATAGCGGTTTGATGTAGGGAATATCGAAGAGAGTGGGGGGCAGTAACGGAGCCGTAGCCACCCACCCTTCGACGTAGACGGCACCCATAAGTAGGAGCGAGCCAACAATTAGAGTGATGTAGATGTAGGGTGTCCTCCATCCTTGTGGCGCGTGCGAGCTGTCAGTGATGGCGTAAACCACGAGCACTAGGCCGGACACAATCAGGATAGATCCCATCCAATCCATCTTTAAGCCCAATGCTTTTCTCTCTTCCGCGTCATTGGGCACAGTCCAAAAGGCAGCTAGAATGGTCGACAAGACTAGTATAGCACCAATCCAGAAGTACCATCCAAACCTCAGGTACTGCCCAGTCAGGCCAGCGAAAAAGACACCAATGAAGAAGCCCAGTGGTGCTGCGGCTCCGTATAGACTGAAGACCAGATTCTTCCTCGGACCAGGCCTGTATATCGCCCCCATGAGCATAACTCCAGCCGGTAGAAAAGCGGCACAGCCCAAACCCTGCAGGGCTCGGCAGAAGTCGAACATGAGCTGATTGTGGGAAAAGCCGGCGATCAGAGACCAGACACAGAACCAAGCCAGACCACCAAGATACATCGGATAGCCCCCGTACATATCACCAAGTCGACCGAACGGCAGGAGGAAGGCTGCTGTGACGAGCGAGAAAGCACTTGATGGCCAGACTTGGGATGCCTGAGGTATATCGAGCCTCTCGACTATGGTTGGTAGAAGGACACTGAAGCCGCTGACGAAGTACTCCTGTAAGAAGTACGTGTTAAAGTTGTACGACGAACCATGTCGGGAAGGGACCAAATGAGCCTACCACCGTGATCATAGAAGCGAGGAGAGAGTAACAGAAGCAGATTTCAGCCGTCAAGGATTTGAACTTTGGCGGCCTCTCTCGACCCAAGCGTTCTATCCGTGCTTTTTCATCCTCATCGACACCATTGGTACCATTCTCATCCTGATTTCGGCTGGCATCTGCTTCAAAGGCCCGGGACTGAACCTGAGGTATGGAGATGGAGTCGGTCGGTGAGGCGACGCGAGAGAGCGAACTTCGAACCATGGTGGACAATGGTGAGTGGTGACTTGCTTCAGGCGAGCGAACAGTGAGGGGATGGATTGCATCGAGGGCAAAGACATGATTAAGTAGCGCCCACGAGTGACTGCAAAGCCGGAGGGATCTCAAAGTAGGAGTGATTTCAAAGCAGGATAGATTTCAAAGCAGCAGTGATTTCAAAGCACGAGTCTACGAGACGAGGCTGTCGGGCAATGCATGAAATGAGCTCTCGAGGTCTACGGAAATGACCAAATCGAGGTCTTCGGGAAAGACCAAATCGAGGTCTTCGGGAATGACCAAATCGCGGTAGCGTATGCGGATGCGCCCGTCCCGCTGTCAGCCGCTGATCTGCAAACCGGCATATCCCCTATTTACCTAGATGGGTAATATTCCTTTTTGGGGTTAGTTCACCTGGAGCATTTAGCGCGATAATTTTGCTGCAGCCTTGGCAGAAGGAACACCAAATTTTTGGAGCAGGAACTTAATAAATGTTTCTATACCGAATAACTATATTTATATAAATCTCAAAGCTACATAATGGTCTGTGCTTCAAGGCTATTGAAAAGTTTCCTTCTTATAGTTATGGGTCTAATCGTAAGAGTGATGCAGGCAGAAAAGTAGACACTTATACCGTGATTTCAGCGTGTAGAGATCAGCTTCCCTCCTCATCTGTCGCTAACCAGTCCAATAAGTTCCGATTTCCCTCAGATCGTCAACCAGATCAGGCGGGTTCTCCAAACCAGCAAAAAAGCCCCCAAACTCGTGGTCTATTTGATTTGTCAGCGAAAATTCCTGTCGAAAAAAAGAAATTTGTCGACTTTGACACTACCTACTTCGGTACATGACCAGATTTCCCATCATCCGCAACACATCTTCGGGCCAGAAACCAACCGTATACTTGAAAAAGCTCACCAGCATCGGCGCGTCCGTATGCGCCCTCCGGTATGTCCCCTCCCTAAATGGAAGTTCGGGGTCTTGAGCATACATATACACAGACGGCATAAATGAGTCAGTCAAGTAGTATAGTGAGATACTGCGCAGGATCTCGTTGTGGGTAAGCCGGGAGGGGCACTCTCCAGCCCTGACGTCAGCCCCTGCGAGTGGAAATTTAGTTTCGTCCAATAGACGAAATGGCAGAACTGTTTTTTATGGGGATGCACTTACAGTCTATCCACTTCTCGCCCATCCAGGCCAGCTGACCCACAGGGTTGTCGTACAGAGAGAGGCCAATCGTGTTCGGCTGAACATGACGTGAGCTTTCCTCCTCAATATTGTCTACTTACCTACCTTGTATATATGCATAAGTACATAGCTGGTGCCATTATAGGTCCAATCCATCGCTCGCTTGTGTTCAAACTGTTCCAGCGGCGAGAGCGTAATTTCTCGCGCCGCGATTTCTTCAGAGGTGGAGCAGTAGAAGGGCACGACAGGAAAGTGTGCAGCCCTTGTTGTGGTGTTGAAAGTATCGTACAGAGTAAATGCCAGAAACCCGCCAATAGATGTTCCATGAACGCCAAAGGTGTCATATCCAAGAACATCTGTCATGAGAGTGTTAAAAACGCGGGCTGTGTCAGCTAATGTCCAGTTTCCAGGTGGTGAGGTCGAGAAGGCGATGCCTGGGAGGGATGGAACGACGACATGGAAGGAGACTGGCTTTTCTGTTGACGTCTTGGCCTTCTGCGTCAATGGGTCGATAACGGGTAAAAATTCCATGAACGTGCCAGGCCAGCCGTGAGTCAAGAGCAACGGGATTGCGTCTGGATCATCGGAGATTTTATGAACGAAGTGAATGGTTAATCCTTCAATCGTGGCCGTGAAGTGCTTAAAGCTACATAGAATGTAAGACTCAAATGTTAATTGTGCCTTGATGAAATAGTTCACGAACCTGTTCAAATATGCTTGCTCCTTTTCCCAGTCAAACTTATTCAACCAATTTTCGCGAAGACTTTTCAAAACTTCGAGGTCGATGCCAGAGGAGGGTTCGACGCCAGGGTACTGAGGCTTCTCGGGAAGCTGGGTGTTCTTGATAAGTCTCATCATGCGTGGGACACGCCGAGATAGGTTAATTGTGAATGGACGCAAGTTGAAAGACTGATCTGATATAATCCGCCCAGCAGCTTGAAGGCATAACAAGCTCAAAATCACAAGGGAGTTTAGTCTTGAAGCCATCACGGACGTTTGATGGCGATTCCCAGAAGCCCAGACCACCCAGGTATTTATGCTGTCAATCGCGCAGCTTGAAACTGTAATCACTTGATGTATGCCCTTCTCTATCAGGGCCCAGTTAAGTCCTCGTACATCAAAGTTAAGGACATTTGATATCGTGATCATTCATGCAAGTGGCTGGTATATGCACGGAGGGCACTGGTAAAACATCTTACCGTACACTAAATTTGTATATTGCCGTGTCTCCTTTCGACGCGGAGCCTTTCATTTTGGGACACTTAAAATGGCAATTGGCCCTCATCAAGTTGATCCCTTAGCTTCCGCTTTATCTAGGCATAAGATTTCACTATGTCCTGCCTTACGGGGCATACGCTACGGTCATTAGCACCCCAGCAAGTAAGTTACGAAACGTTTTCTCAAGCTGGTCATTTTCTCTTGCCCGCGTGAATACAGCAAAAAAGCGGACGGAATCAGGTTATTGAAGATGGATTGACGTACTGCACATTTGACTCAGTGTTACATTGGAAGAAGAGAGCATATTCCTAGATCCTGCTACGGCAGTGACTCTCGAACCTTTCGCTTACGACGCAATTCTCGTACGACGCCATTGATACCATTTATAACCTATTTAGTAAATGGGTGTACATTTAGCATTGGTCTAGGCACATCTGGAAATCTCCGGAGCCCGGGCCGAGGGGCGGCGCGGGCCAGATTTGATCGACGACAATTGCAAATTGAGAAATCATAATTCAACAGCAATATCGGCTCGGGTACCTTCTTGAGAAAAACGAAATCGGTACCTCCGTCGTGAACAAGCAGAGCCTGGGCACCGATATCGCTGCGGTCCTCCCACTCATGGGAAACTTGTCTTGTGATAAGATACGATCTCACTATCAATCGCAGTTGACTCGTAACATTTCTGGCGGCGCCTGCCCCCTTGATAATGCGTCCGTAGCTCGAATATCATCACAAGTCTGCGGAGAGACAATCACCTATTGCACAACGAATACTGCCGATATGGCGTATTCGATCAACGACAGCATCATCCTGTTCAGCTTGCTCGGTAAGCACACGAATCATCCGAGCCTACAGGGAGCTGTGCATAGGGAAAGTGATTGCACTCTAAATTGAAATGCTATCCAGACCGTAGATGAGTGTGTTGCCAGTAAATGTAAATGACCTTGTCTCGATAGAGTAGATAGCCTTTGACCCCTCAATTCCACTCATCTCCCATCATCCGTTCCCTAATCCTTTCAATATTTTCACATCCTAGATCTCTTGCCGCTTCGTAAGCTAGACGATACGCATGCATATTCTCAGAGATTAAGGGCCGTTTGTCACTCCAACCTGTTAGCGCCCGGATCTTTTCGCTATTAACCCACTGGCTATACCCAAATACTAAATCCAAACCCTGGACATCGATAGTCTCCGGTATATTGTCCGCAGACACCCCAAACTGAGTATCCCCTGTAAAGCCGTACTCAGCCGCCAGCGCCGCTCCAACCTCTTGAAGCGTTACGTACCGCCGTCCGGAGATATTGAATACCTGTCCGGCGATAGCAGCGCGCCCTCTTTTCTGCGTACAATTGCCAGATACATCACCTACGTCATTGTCTTCGAACAAAGCCATCCTTGCAAGCGCGACATATCCATCCGCGCAATCATCAACATGTATCCCGTGCAGGATCGTGTCTGCGTCAGCAGTGAACTTGAGGACTTTAGCCGTAGCTCCCTTATTCTTTTCACTAGCAAGAGCGGCAGCAAATGCAGCAGCATATTCGAACCCGACCCCGTAATAGCTCCCGCTATACCCAAACACCGGCGTCGCTCTTACAACGGCAACATCAAACGCGACCCTACCCTCATTCTTCCCCGCTACCGCTAAAGCCCTTAGTGCGCCCTCCATTCGGCAGCGTACGACTTTATGCGGATTAAGCGGGGATGTCTCGCTATGCTCCTTTAACCGTGGATCGCCATGCAGTTTAGTTGTACCGTAATCTTTACACCCCGAGGACCACAGGACGAGCGGGTAGACAGGTTTTCCCCTGGGAGCAGACGCAGAAGCTTCAGCCAGCCCTTGCACAAGCACTAATACTTCGTCCCAGTGCTGCGCCTCTGCGACGGGGTTGGACTTAGAGGGTTCCGTACAGTTAACGATCACATCCCATGTGCGACTGTGCGAGAGGATTGCCTGGCTTACAGAGCGAGTGTCGGAGATTGAGCCCACTATAGGGATAACTTCCTCTATGGCGAGGGCGCGGGCGGTAGATGCGCGCCGTACGAGGCCATACACCTGGAAATAAAAGGAGCGTAGCATAGCGGCGCGGAGGAAGGCACGTGAGATAGCGGAGCCGAGGTAGCCATTTGCACCGATAACGAGGACTCGAACAGGCTCCGGAGAGGACGCAGAGGTGCTGCCCATCTTCGGTATGTATATGAATAGTTTGGCTTTTGGCGAGGTGACGGATGCTAGAGATAGGGCTAGTATTGAACGTGATGCAGGGCCGTGATCTTGACTGAACTTCGACCGCTGTAAGGATGACTGAGGAATGATGCGTAATTATTCACATTCCTAGGAGAGTGAATATTTAAACAGTCTAAGATTTCTAGATTATTACACGTAAGGGGTAGACGTGATTGTGGAAGTAGCGGGATGTTTTATGCCGGTGAAGGATGTGGTAGACGAAAGGGAGCAGTGGGTGGGAGTCGTTGGTAGACTAGGGACTGAAGCGGCATTGCTGTGAATGGCCACGCGCCTATAGTTAGCTCGCGGCTTGATGGAGAGCAACATCAATGGCCGATGAATTGACGCATTTAACAGAGCGGTATGGGGCGGGAACAGCCACATCGGAGACGGCCCGAGAGCGGGGCATGACTAAGTTAAGTATCAGTCAAGGAAAGTATGCTGCATGTGAGGACTGACCATGCATTCTGACCTCGCTTGCTACGATTGTAACATGGGAACCAACGTTGGATCGCTTGGTCGGTCTTTAGTGCCACTGGGGTAATACTGTATAGTACAGCTATTCTCTTATAAGCTTAGCAATCAAGTACAGCTGCCGATCTAGGCGTTAAGTACTAGCGCTATGCTAGGGATATGTAGTACAGTAAATAGATTCTAGGCGTTCTATTTGGCGGGGTAGGCATTGTGGTTTGTAATCTGGGTTGACTCTGAAAACTACTACTTAAACATGGCTCAACAGCTTCTTCGGAATGTGTTCAGACAAACTCTCACAGTCCATCTTCGAACTTACCTGCCAACAGTAGCCTGGCCTTTGCGTTGCAATTTTTCACCCCACCACTCCGTCACGATGTCGACGCTTCAATACTACGCTTATCATAAACATGGTGTCCGCCTGCGTCAGAGGAGCAACTACAGCCAGGCTGTTCGTGTTGGTGATCGCATTGAGTGTGCTGGTCAGGGTATGACATCCCTACATATCCACTCGAACACCCTGTCCCTTCCCTTTCCCCTTGGCCCCTATTCCTCTTCGTCCAGCACCTGGTTAATTCGTCCCTAGGTGGCTGGGACTACAACTCCGGCGAGATGAAGAAGGACCTATATGAGGAGATCGACCAGGCCTTCAAGAACGTTGACTATAATCTCAAGGACGCCGGCGGTAAGGGCTGGTCACAGGTCTTCCGTGTCAACTCGTACCACACCGACATGAGCGACGAGGCCCTCCGCCACATGATCAAGAACCTCAAGAAGTGGATGCCTGACCACCAGCCGTTGTTGACTTGTGTCGGTGTGACGAAGCTGGGTATAGAAGGTATGCGTATCGAGATTGAGGTCTCAGCCTATGACGATGAAGGCGCGGAGGCGGCGCGGAAGGCGAGGGCCGCGGTGGCAGAGAAGAAGAAGTGATGAAACGGTAGCGGACCTTTATATACTACGGTACCAGGCATAATTTATAGAACTCGCTCGCTACTTATCAGGAGAAGGGGTAGTAGAAGATACATGCTAAGTGGCCGTTAGTGAGAATGACAACTATTCTGTCAATTGAGGACTATATTAGTACAGTAAGACAGTGTCAACCTACTGTGCAGAGTGCGTAGAGAAGCAAGTTGATTGGTGGCTACGGGGGTAGAGAGCGTAGATCTATGTACAATTGGCTGTACTGTACAGCGAAATTAGAAGCGAAATTGCGTTGGAAATTGACCAATTAGAAGCAGTAGAAACGCAGGGATTACGCATATGAAACGCGGCCAATTGGCCCTCTCAGAAGGTCAACATGTTGTCTCCTATTGCTCACGAGCCTAATACAGAATGGCACACGCCTCGAAGAAATTGTGTTGTCAAGCACCAAGAGCGCGCTGATTAGTCGACTTTTCTGCATTTCTACTCACAAATTGTCTACGTCCAATTGGTTGATTTCTGCACTAATCTTGATGAGTCTTACGGCCAACTTGTACGTATATCTGTGCTTTCTGCGCCTTCTTTTAGACTGATCAACTTGCCATCTCGACTCATTCTACATAGCCTGCTTCATCCGTTTGAGGACCTTACACTTTGATGCAGGCTTCGGATACCGCAAGATTGTCCAAAAAAGTGTTATATCTCGAATCACGGTTCGCGACATCCTCAGCGAAAACTCTAATCGTCGTCCTCCCACAACTCGTCAACGCCCGCCCGTATTAGTTGAAGAGGAGGTCGATAGAATGATCGATATTGTTACTATGACCTATCAAAACCGTACGCTTTCTTGGAAGGCGTTGGCTCACGCTATTGAGCGCGAAGACGTTTCGAACGATACTATTCGAAGAGCTATGTACAAGCGTGGATATCACAAATGCAAGGCTTGCAGACATTCTTTCATTGAACCCGTAGCTGCTACGAAACGGCTGCCCTGGATCAATACTGAAGATCGTTATGCGCAACAACTGGTATACTGGCTGCGCTGGATGCGGAGCGACGAAGCCACAATTACAACAAGCATGTAGGGCACGAAATACGTTATACGCACTTCTGAAGACCGTCACAATCCAGACTGCGCTCAAAATTAGTTCAAAAGTGGTCAATCTTCGTTTACAGCTTGGGGCATGATTGGTTTCTGTGAAGCAGGCTACGTAGACTGAGTCAAGATAGTAAGTTTCTCAATCGAAAAGAGAGCGTAGAAAGCGCATATATACGCTCAGCGAAACAGTGCAGAGATTGCAGTAGAAATAGACCAATTAAACGCAGGCAATTTGCCACAGAAATGCAGCAAAATCGACCAATCAGCGCGCTCCTGGTGCTTGACAGATTCTATTGAATCAGTCCTTTGATCATCCTAGAAGGTCACGGGAAGAGAAGGGGCTTTAATCAACAAGATTACGCCGATCAGGTCATCAATTGAATAGTGGGCTCATTTTTCAATGACAACGGTGTTGTGGCACTCGTCTAATATACCATAAGGCCGTAACTCAGCTCATGGACTATTTGTGAAGGGCATGAATCCAGCCAAAAAAGCCAAACTGGACTGGGACATTGACTTCGTGGCTTCGCCACTCAGTTCGCCCGGTTTTAATATCATTGAGCACATCTGCAGGCTCGTCGTGGTCAAGAGCACTCTATCAAAACAAACAACCAACAAATGATTGACGTCATGCTTGAAGAATGGAGTAAACTCACGAACGCAGACATTGGGAAGCTCATCCAAACTATACCCGTGCGTATGGCGCAAGCCAAGGGATTGCGACGAAGTGGTAGTAGACTAGCCGCAATAAGAAACAGATGGTTTGACGATTACTACTACGGTATCAGGCCAAATTTGTGTTACCCCCCCTGCTGAAAAGGTTAGTATCCGTACAAAACGTACTATGTACAATTAGGTATAGACGTCCGCATTAGAGCCTAAATTTGATTAGTCTCTAAAATCAAGTTTTTTACATTCCATTAGCACCTCTAACTGCTTAACATCTTGTCTGTATCCATTAAAGCAGCTTCTGTAAGATAGTTAGAAGAAACAGCATCTTATTAGGTGCTTGTAGCTCATCCTGTCATCAAGCTCATTAGTATCCATGCAGAATTGGTAGAATGCTTCCGGAGTAGAATGAGCAGAATTTGCAGGATGAGCAAAAGTCGTGCAAAATAGGGACAGGGATGCTGACAGGGTGTATGTTTGTAAAAAACACGTTTGTAAGATATTTTGACAAACGGGGGGGTACAAAAATTCGGCCTGTAACCGTAGTATATCATTGTGTATTTGAAGTATTTGAAGCGATTGGTGAAATAATGCTCTCATGATATTTCTGCGGGGGTGGAGACTAGTGCACCCCGCCTTGTACTGCGGGGTTAGAGATGCGGCTTGTAGTCCGCCAATCAGAGTTTAGATAACCGATGTCTCTTGGCAAGTCCCTACCAGATTGACGGGCCGTTTCTAGCACACCTCCGCCGCAAGGCTCGCGCCGAGCTGCCAGGGCTACGTGTGCAACCCACTAGGTGCTTGCCGGCACGCAAACACAAAGTCACGTCCACCATAAAGTACAAAGTGACCTGAGAACAAAGAATTCTTCCGTACTCATCCCCGCTTCAATTCGTGGAATCGGAGTGCTGGAATGAGAAACCAAGGAATCAGTGGACCTGATACAGCTGGCCAGACATTTGAGGCAGGCCAATCGGACATTAAAGAGTTGCTCTGTTGGAGTCGCTTAGTTCATGGGATGGTGCGAGACGGACGGGTCGCAGGATCGACTGCCTGGATTGAGCTTGATTGCGTAATATTTTTAGCCCTCGGCATATACGAGAGACGTGGAGTAGTGACCCAAGCTAACATGAAGGCAGAAGATGTTGCAATCCTACCGCTCTAGGATTTCGGACGTCGTCTGCTTTTGATAAACTGAGGACTGGAGGCAACACAAAGTCGACGCTCACCGCTATGTAAGCTACGGAGGTGTCATCCGTACATGTTGGTAAGCTAGGTCAATACATCTAACAGGTGCATCGGAAAGATAGACCAAGCCGCTGAGCAGGGTTGGGTCCCAGATGAACGGGACGCATCTGCACGTACTGGGCATTGCGAAAGTGTTGCAGTTCCTTGGCGCTACCCTCGAATTGCTGGTGCCGTGGGGCAGAATTGCAGTGAGGGCAGAGGATGGCAATTTACCACCTAATTATTGTAGTAGAATGCCCATATTGCCCGAATAATGAAATAGACTCTCTTGTGACCTTGTTGCTGAAATTCTGAGATAGAAAACTATAGTATTAAATCGTAAATAAGCAATCTTAAGCAATTTTTACACGTTTTTTGTACATACGGAGCTATTCCTATATCTTACCGCAATTCTGCCCCGCAGCACTAGCAACTTGAGGGTCACGCCAAGGAATTGCAACACTTTCGCAATGCACAGTACTATACTAACTCTCATGGGCTCAAAGATCCTTGATCCTTACATTGATGGCTTATCAATCACCACGTGCTGTCCTACCTCCGCAGTACAACCAGCGCCATAGGCAAGGGTAAGAGTGCCACGTTTCGAGACCTTTGGAAATCTACTATCTCTTTCGAGGCAGTCCGTGTCAACGCGCAAAATGCACAATTCGCTGGAGCTTGTTTCGTTACTTCAAGTCTCTTCCCTCGCCAGGTAAACTCCTCTGGGCTTCTGGAATTTTGCGTCACAGCCTCGTACTGTATGTCGTGCTGAATGGCTTGCTATGCCTATCCAATGGCTTGCCAGTGGTACGCCAGACCTATTTCCCTTGGCGCCACCCTACTTACGGAATATCCCGTGCTGTACTAGGGGGGGGGGGGTTACCCACTGCAAGTGCGGCCCGGAGGTCCTGGTAAGGGCTCCACCCATTGGGCCACGGCTACCTGGCGGAAGCATCCCTAGATCGGCGCTAGTATTTGACTCCCGATACAGCCGTCTTTCCTAACCGCCAAACTGATAATGATATAGCTCTACTGTACTAAATCAATCCTTTGATTATTGACACAAGAAGCTTTGAGGAAGAGGCAAAGTGTTTGATACTAGCTGCTCTTAGCGCCGTGCCAGGGATACCTATGGCTGCCCTGCTGATGTACGCCTACCTCCTGTGAATTACAAATCAATAGTGTCGGACAAGTACAATATGTCAGAACACCGCCCGGACAGAAATTTTCCTTCAAATTCCATCGACCTTTATTAAAAGAATTTGACTCGAACATTTGAAGCCCGTTATCATGTTTGGCACTCTTAATCCAAAGCAGCATGAGGAGCCGTTGACCTTTATCGAGAATACGGACCGGGCCTCAGCACTCCGTCGTACCCGCCGTGACAAGCCACATATTTCCTGCGAAGTCTGCCGGGCGCGGAAGGTAAATTTCTCGCGTTTTTCTCTTGCATCCGTATCTTTCTGTTGTCACCTGCTGCCTCTCTCCGTTCTAGTGCTGCTCTTGGACTAAATCCTGTTATATTATCATGTCCCAATCCATTCAACGCCGCTACCTAGGCCCAAAGAGGACACATACGTGCGGCCGTTGCAAAGAAAAGAAGTCCAAGAGAAATTATGCGATGTGCGGAGACGCCATTGGCTGACTTTTCGCTTCTCTTTGTCTCTCCAGGTGCGATGTAGTGGCCAGCCCTCGGGCTGCGATCGATGCCTCGCCGTCTCCGCCGAGTGCAGGTACCCGGGCCGCGAAGCTCGCCGCAGGAAGGCCACCACTAGTCGCCACATGGAAACACTCATGCCGAGTAGCAGCATGAGCGGTACCAATCCTGCAACGGGGACCAAAGAGCAGGTACTTCGACGAGGACAAGGGCAGGGTCAGGGCCAGGGGGTGCAGCAGCCGTCCGTTGGCGTTGGCAGTGGTCAGGCAGGACGAATACAGCCACACAGGGCGTATCCGAGCGTCGAAATGGGTGATCCGGAGCCCAGGGCAGACCAGGATCCGCAGCAGATGGAGCACCGGTGCTCGTCATACTCGGTCGGCGACCGCAGCTCGAGCGGAAACGTCTTGGATGGACTTGACGAGTGGCTGGACATGGACAGCTTTCTCAACCCAGGATTGACGGCGCCGCTAGAGAATCTTGACGGCAGCTTGGAGATGTTGAACGAGGCGATGGAGGATTCTTTGTCTGGGCACGCTAGTAGTCCTGCTGGTAAGTGAGTCCCCTTGATTCTTGGGCGTGTGCACATGCTCAACATGGGCAAGGCCTTGAATATTATGGATCCTGATCTGGCCACTGAAGTGAGTTACCCACTGACAACTCCATGTGCAGGTTTGGACGATATGGCCTCTGGCACCTCGCCTAGCAGCTTTCCTAACGCAGATAACCTGGTGCAGGCGTTGATGCCCCCACACGACGTCGTCTCGCCGCTGGCTTTGGATATCCCATCCACACGCCGCCAGCCATCAGCATCGGCCACAAATGGTGATTCTACAGGACAAGATTCACTATCCCTGACGCCCAGTTTGGGCCGCTGGTCAGGCCAGCCCCCAACCATCCTCAACAACATCCGGCCGTCACCCGGATCGCCGGATCGCCTAAAGCCCAGTCTAATGTTTGACCCACACACAAAGGGCCCAGTACCAGCAGCACCGGCGGCATCCTCACCAAGCTTAACCCGTCGATCGGATGCCAAAGACGGCTGCCCCTGTCTGCACCTTATGGCCTGCCTGCTCGAGGAGCTCGGTGCAGAGAGCGCGAGCAGTGACCAAGCTACAATGGACCTGCTGCTAGGCTACTTACGCTGTGCGTTGGTGCGCTGTAGTACTGTCTTGGATTGCGAGCGGTGCACATCGCTGAGTGATAATAACATGCTGCTGGCCATGGTGGGGCAGTATATGAGCACCATCTGCGAGCGCATGGTCATGTGCTACATTGGGTTGCAGGGGGCACAGGAGCAGCGGCAGAGTAAGCAGCAACCGTCGGTATCGTCATTGCTTGCTGGTGTTGGCGGCACTGGTGGTGATCAGGAGGACGGGAATGGTGGCACAAGGTCAGGGTCTGGAGTACTTGACGCCGACGAAATATGGTTTTCCACGTACCGCATTGATGACGGCTGGGAGCGCATGCAGGTACTTCAATGCCTAGCTAGTGTTCAACTCATAGAGTTTTCCCGAATGTTGGAAAAGCTCAAGGCGCGAGGGGGTAGTCACAGGGGACACCTGGTGCTGCTGACCGAGGCTGAGAAGCGGATCAAGGCGGTGCAGTTGATGCTGCGAACCAAGTTGAATCGCCCATCAGCCGGGAGAATATCGTCCTCGTAGACATCTTCTTTGAATCGTCCTGAAAACCGTAGTGCTGAAGGTATTTCAATGTTCTTTAGATAGGTGGTGGCATGCGGTGGTCTGTGGTGGCCTTCGCCAAGCCGGTTCGGAGAGATACATCATGATAGCCGTAAACAAAATAGACAAAAAGCCTGGTTTCGTATCTTTCTCGATAGATTCATGATCCAGCGCAGTGTGTTTTTTGTCCGGGATCGATGCAGATGCAATGGAGAGGCACTGTATCATTTGCCATTCTCCTGCGCTCAAGTGTATCATGGCTGTTTCTACATCCTGGCAGAAACTCATCAACATGCCATATGCCAAGCTTCACTAGAAGCATACTAGTAGCATTGCGCTAATCAGCCCTACGGCTCAGTGTATGCAGTGGGCTGGGGCATCATAAAGTTTAAATATAGACTCAGCATGTAATTACTAGTAGTAATTACTAGTAGTAATTGATAGCAACAAACACGCTAAGACTTTAATTCTTGAAGACTTGGCATATAGTTCTGTATTAAGTATAGAGTCGTGTATCAAAAGTCAATAATATACGCTAACTAGGATAAATTAAAGCTAACTTTTCTTGTGCTAGCACAGTGCTAGTAGTCACTGGGGTCGTAAAGATCATCAGAGAGGGTGAATAGCTGAAGCTTAACTGACATAGACCTCTAGAGCCACATCAAGTAACCTAAAGAGGGCCCTAAGGGTCTAAGGAAAAAGGGGGTCACAGCGGCAGCTCTAGGGCTCTATCCCTGTAGCATAACTTTTACATCACATACTAATTTTTATTAGTTTTCATTAATCTTTATATATATATTAAAAAATATTAAAACTATAAATCTTATAACTAATTATTTCTAAAAATAATAAAATTATAGTTATTTTAAAAAGTCCCAAAAATATCATTAAATACTAGCTGTATAGAATAAATAGCCAAGCCACATACAACATTTATGATGCCTTAGCGCCACATTTATAGTGCCCCACTTTACTATCCCCTCCACGGCTGAGCGAGCGCACATAAAACAGCCTGCACCGCCTCCTCCCTTGTAACTCAAGCAACTCGTTTGCACTCCTTCAGGGCTTCTTCCCTCACCCTATTGCTCATGCAGTGCTACAAACGATGACTTGGCATCCTTTCGGACTGGCTAATGGCCCACTCCATGGCTCTTACTGCGGCCTTGACCTCGGCATCCTTCTGTGGCGGATGATGCCCCCCGCTGTGCTCCAGCTTCCTCGTTAGCCCCTCTTCGCACAACCCACGCGCGATATCCGACATGTTCTGCATGAAGTCGAAGTCTCGCCTACCAGTCACATGTACTGTCGGGATCTGTAATTTGTCCTTCAGCAATTGCGCATGCATTATTCTTGGGGCTTTGGAGCCGTCGCCCCTGCTGTAAACATCCATACTGTATTCTGGCAACGCCGCACCTTTCTTCTTGGCTGCGATCACGGTCCGTAACATTACCTCACAGAATAAGCGCTCGTCACGCGTCAAGACAGGGTCATCCGCCGAGGGCGTCACTGTCATGTCCCGCCGGAGAGCGCACAGCCGCCGGACGACACTCTGGCAGTATACGGCGTCGGCCGAAAAGGGTATGACAGACGAGAAGCACAAAGCAAATTTGAAGGGCGGCGGTGCGCCGCGGATCTGTTGCTGACACATGTACGATAGGGCGAGGGCGGCGCCCTGGCTGAAGCCGAGGATGCCGTCAAAGGGGCCAAGTTCGTCGATGGTCGTATCGAGGTGCTCTAGCGCGTCTGCCATTTCGTCCGGCGAGTACCCGGTCGTATGTGAGTAAAAGGGCCCTTCGAAGTAGAGGCCCATTCCTGTATTGTCGTCATCGTCAGTTGCGCTGCTGGGCTTTGGGCATGGTTGGAGACGCAAAAGATGTCGAGTGTGTTCTTACCTGGTCCCCGTTCCGACAGCGCCGGTCCTTCGGCAAAGACAAACTCATAGCTTGGGTCGACTGCCTTAAGGAAGGCCCTGAACTGGCTCTTGCAGATGCTCCCAGAGCTGCCCACGCCATGTAAGCACAGAATCTTCATCTTTGATATAAACGAGTGATCTCTAAAGTCGTCACTTTGCTTTCACTCCAAAGGCAGTCCAGATTTTAAGGAAAGACGTGCGCCAACAATGTCAACTGGGAAATGTCTTGATGTCTAGGGAGTGGAAGTTCCTTACTGACTCTAATAATTACCTAATTTGGCATGTTCCGTGTTTCGGAGGGATTATTAACTTGTTGCCCGATTGGGCATATGCGGACTACCAGCCATCCTGACACTGACACAAGACCGACGGAATAGACGCGGCGCTGACCCGGCAGTACTGGAGTATCCCGGTCCGAGGGCGCTCGATGGTGTCGATGCGTATTCGTCGAGGCCAACTGTTGGATTTAGGGTTCGGCGCTTCCCCGCGAGATGCGTTGCTTGAATGAGCGACACCATCATATATGGCCTGAAATCTCAACCGTCTACAAGCAAACAAGATGCCCTTGATACGCGAAGGGAAGCAAGAGTCAAATCGATCCGTCCTAAAACTTCACATACAAATGCCTCAACATTAGAAAACTTTCACACTTGAGCTTTGTCATAACATATACGGTCTTATCTGTTTTCACTTTTGCATCTTTTTTTTTTCCTTTTGCCGTACTTAGTCATACCTCGGCTACAGCTACTGCTGCAAAGGCGATAAAAGCAACAACGGCAGCGCACTACTAGCATATCAGAAGCCGAGGAAGATATCAAAATGGCGGAATTGGATAAACAAGAGCCCATCGCCATCATCGGAGCGGCATGTCGACTTCCAGGGGGCGTCTCGTCCTTGGGCAACCTTTGGGACATGATCAGCCACGTCAAAACCGGCCATGGCAAAATCCCCACCGAGCGGTGGGATGCCGATATCTGGCACCATCCAGATCTGGATAGGAAGGGCTCAGTGAGTGACCATAGTAGCGGTCGTCTGATGTGGAAGATAAATGCCGCTCTTGCTGACAAAGAGGCTGCCAGGTCAGTGCAAAAGGTGGCTACTTTCTCGAGCAAGATGTTAGCCACTTTGACGCCCCCTTTTTCTCAACCACGGCCAAAGAGGCGGCTGCGATGGACCCTATGAAGCGATTGCTGCTCGAGGTCAGCTACGAGAGCTTTGAAAACGGTTAGTACCGCTCGCATGGGCTAGCTTGCTTTGTTATGACGGGCGTGCCCTGACAGCTGACAATCACGCGACGCAGCCGGTGTTCCTGTGGAGAGTCTAATCAATTCCCAAACTGGATGCTACGTTGGTTGCATGACAAACGACTATGAGATGCTCTCGTTACGCGACATCTACGACGTTGGCCACACTGCTGCGTCGGCCACCAGCGAAGCCATGACTGCGAATCGTGTCTCTTGGTTCTTTGGTCTGCAAGGTCCGAGCCTGACACTCGATACGGCTTGTTCCTCGAGTCTGTACGCCCTGCACCTCGCGTGCCAGTCCCTGAAACTCAGAGAGACTGAAATGGTGAGCTCATTGCAAACCTAGATCACCTTTGCAGCACAGACGTTCTGACATAAACTTCCGGGGGCAGGCCCTCGTTGCTGGAGTCAACCTGATCATCCACCCCAACACCATGCACCAGTTCTCAGCCATGCACATGCTTAGTCCGGAGGGAATCTCTCACACCTTCGACGACCGGGCAAACGGCTACGGCCGCGGCGAGGGTATCGGGTCCCTTGTTGTCAAGCGCCTCTCTGATGCTCTCCGAGACGGCGACACGATTCGCGCCGTGATTCGCGGCACTGGGGCAAATGCCGATGGCAGGACGCCGAGTATTACTCAACCCAGCACACTCGCGCAGGCCAATCTCATCAAGAGGACCTACGAGGCCGCTGGGCTGTCTCAGACGTCGACGCAGTATTTTGAGTGTCATGGTACTGGCACTCCGGTCGGTGTGAGTTTCCTCTTATCACTCCCTCTCCAAGAGGCTTACCCACATGTCCTAGGACCCGATCGAGCTGGAGGCCATTGCCTCGTCCCTCGGCGCAAGCCGCGCTGCCGCCGGTCTCGGTCCCTTGTATGACCGAAGGCTGCTCTGGGCTGGCGGGCGTCTTCAAGGCGCTTGTCTGCCTAGAAAAAGGCAGGCTTGTGCCAACATACGGCGTCGAGAGGCTGAACCCCAAGCTCAAGCTCGCCGACTGGAACCTCGCCCTGCCCCAAAACACGATGAAGTGGCCTACGCGTGGGCAGCGCCGTGCCAGCATCAACTCGTTCGGCTTCGGTGGTGCCAACGCGCACGTCATCCTCGACGACGCATACCACTACTTGAGCGAGCGAGGCCTGGTGGGAAATCATAACACCACCGTGCTCGAGGATGACGGCGGCTCTGATTCGGGCGTCAGTACGGGCCCGGGCACACCGGTGCTCACTGACGATAAAAACGCCAGCTTCCTCTTCGTCTTCAGCACCAAGGACCAGGCCGGCATCCAGAGGCTCGCGGCCTCTTACGCCGACACGCTCCAAAAAATCGGCCTGGACAAGGCAGATCCCCAATGCCTCAGCAACCTCGCCTATACGCTCTCAGAACGACGCTCGCATCTCGACTTCCGCAGCTCGTTTGTGGCGTCAAATCTTGCGGAGCTCGGCGCGCAGTTGTCCAAGGGCCTGCCCAAGACCAAGCGCTCCTCGCGGCAGGACAACAACCTTGTCTTTGTCTTCACCGGTCAGGGCGCACAGTGGCCGGCCATGGGGCAGCAGCTGCTCAGCAATGCCGTGTTTTATAAGAGTATGCGTACGTCGCAGGAATACCTCCAGGAATTGGGCTGTGAGTGGGACGCGTTTGAGGAGCTGGAGAAGACCGCCGACTCCAACATCAACTTCCCGCAGTACAGCCAGACGCTGTGCACGGTGCTTCAGGTCGCCCTGGTAGATCTGCTACGGTATTGGAAGGTGACGCCCAAGGCGACGATTGGGCATTCGAGTGGTGAAATTGGCAAGTTAACTTATTCCCTTATTTACCCCTGGCTGCAGATCTGTTAACCCTTTCCCAGCCGCGGCCTATGCCGCATCCTACCTCACCCACGCGGACGCCGTCAAGGTTGGCTACGTGCGAGGTCTCAGCTCTGCCACTGTGACCCGCCCGGGCGCCATGCTGGCCGTGGGCCTCTCTCGAACCGAGGCCCTCGAGTACCTCGCCCAAGTCCCTCACGAGTCCGCCGTCATCGCCTGCATCAACAGCCCCTCTAGCGTGACTCTCTCGGGTGACATTGAAGCCATTGACACCCTCGAGACCCTCATCTCGGGCGACGGCAAATTTGCGCGCAAGCTCAAGGTCAAGACAGCCTACCACTCGCCGCACATGCGCTCTGTCGCTCAAGGCTACCTCGAGCGCATGGGCCATATTTCTCCCCTGACCAACAACGCCGCCGACGGCGATGATGCCAATAAGACGGCCATGTTTTCGTCGCTCACGGGAAAGCTGGTGACCGCTGAGGAGCTCAATGCGGAGTACTGGGTGTCCAATATGTGCGCCCCTGTCGAATTCTCGGCAGCCTTCTCAGCTCTCCTCGCGCACACTTCCCCGCTCGCTAGATCGGAATATACGCTGGGGCGGTTTCGTCGAGATTGGCCCGCATGCCGCCCTCCAGGGACCGGTGCAGCAAATCGTAGCTGCCAGCAGCAGCAAGACGGGCAAGGATGCCGTGTACACGTCGATGGTGTTGCGAGGCAAGGATGCGACCGAGACGGCGCTCACGGCGGCCGGCCAGCTGTGGGCTTTGGGCTATGGCGTCGACCTTCTGGCTGTGAACGCGCGCGAGAGCGGGTCGTCTGTGGTCCGCCACAAGGCTCTGACGGGCTTACCGACGTACCCATGGAACCATACTCGGAGTTTCTGGCACGAGGCGTACTCGACGCGTTCGAATCGCTTTCCGTCAGCCCCAAGGACGGACCTTCTGGGTGTGCCGGAGGACCTACAAAACAGACTGGAGCCGAGGTGGAGGAACCAGCTGCGCATCTCGGAGAATCCCTGGATCGAGGACCACAAGATCACCGGGACGATCCTGTACCCTGCGGCGGGGATGCTGGTCATGGCCATGGAAGGTGCACTGCAGACTGCTGACCCGGCAAGGAACGTGCAAGGCTTCCGCTTCCGGGAAGTTCGGTTCGAGCGTGGCCTGGTGGTGACGTCCGGCGATGAGGCTGCTGTCGAAACACGCCTCAGCCTGCAGCCGCACAAGGCGATATCTGGGCATTTCCATTTCACCATCTTTTCCACGACCAGCTGGAACTCCTGGGTGAAGCACTGTAGCGGTACTGTGGTGCTCGAATACGCCCCTCTCGGCGCGAGCGAAGTTGAGGACGCGGCCGTCGACGTCGTCTGGGGCCAGCAATCGCAGCTCTACAAGCAACTTTCGGGACACAGCAAGGCCGAGAGTGTCGATGTGGGCATATTCTATGACCATCTGGAGACGATAGGCATGGAATATGGCCCGCTCTTCCGGAACGTCGTCTCGTTGTCGGCCATCCCTTCGCTGCACGCCGCGCACGGCGCCGTGGTGATTCCCGATACCAAGTCGAGCATGCCGGCCAACTTTGAGTTCTCCCACGTCATGCATCCCGCCACTATGGACGCCATCTTCCATCTCCTCCTTGCGGCCTTTTCCGGCGGCCAGCCCATTGCCGAGGCGGCTGTGCCATATAGCATTGACGACATGTTTGTCGCCGCCGAGCAGCCGCAGGGCGCCGGTGGAACCTTCCATGGCTATGGTCAGCTGGTGAAGAAGAATAGGGGCGGGCGTGAAACGATTGGAGAGTTGGTTGTGTCCGATCAGGCTTGGTCGGCGCCCAAGCTGACGGTCAAGGGCTTTGCGCTACGGCAAGTTACGTCTGCCGACGGTGCGAGTGCTGCTACCAGCTTGCGGACGGATGCTCTGCGGAAGTGTGCCTGCGTGAAATGGAGTGAGGATGTGGACTTCATCAAGAGTGCCGACGACGTCGCCCGGCTCCAGGATGCAGAGGGCAATCAGGGAGGTCATCTCTCGGCTCAATTGTCCCGGTGGCTCGACCGGCTGGCCCACAAGAAGGCGGTTGGAAAGATCCTTCTGGTACTCGACGAGGAATGCAGCAGCACATCTGATAGTGATCGTCTGCGCGAAATTTTGGCCCATGTCAGCCGTCGATGGGGCTCCGAGAAGATCACTGTTACGGCTACGGGTGCTACCGGATTAGACACGCTGCGTTCTGTTGTGCCCTCGTCGTCATCCGAGTTAGTACTCGAGTTCTGGGATGCCGGCAAAGACGAAGAGCTATCAACGGCCCAGGGCGCTTACGACGTCGTGCTCGTTGTCGGCGACCGGACTGTTCGGCCACAGTCTGGGCCTCTTGTCAAGTTGCAGAAGGTGCTCTCCCCTCGAGGTCACGTTGTCATTCTCCCGACCGAGCTGTCGCCGGCCGCGACTGAGGCGACTGAGGCGACTGAGGCGACCGAGGCGACCGAGGCGACTTCGCTGTTGACGTGTCCAGTAGCAACCACCACCGGAGCCACCTCAAGCCTCTTCATTACGTCTGCTTCTTCTTCCTCTTCTTCTTCTTCTTCTGTTGAGGCTAGGACGACGACGCCATCGGAAGTCTTCATCCTCCTGCCCTCCGCTGCCTCTTCCCAAGTCTTGGCCCTAGCATCCACCCTTACCAACGTCCTCCACCCTCTTAACATCAACGTCCAATTGACAACTCTCTCCCCTACCAGAACACCTCAGCTGGTTGGCAAACACATCATCTCCCTCCTCGAGATCGAAGTTCCCTTGATATACTCCTGGAGCGAGACCGAATTCACTTCGTTCAAGTTACTCATCTCGTCGGCAAGCCACCTCCTCTGGCTCACCCGTGGTAGCCTCCTCGAATCCTGGGCCGCCGGTGTCGATTTTGCCCCCGCCCAAGGCCTGCTCCGAGTGTTGCGCAATGAGTACTCCCTCGCCACCCTGCCACACCTCGACCTCTCCGCTGGGTTCGACCTGATGAGTCCCAGGAGCGCCGAATTAGTCCTTGGTGTCTGGCAGGCCTCTCTCGCAGAAGGAGCTGAGATGGAGTACGCCGAGCGTGACGGTCACATCTACATCCCTCGCGTGGTCGAGCATGCCGGGTTCGACGGAGAGCTACAGCTCGCAAGCGGCAATGCGAAACCTATGCGCAGCCCAGTCCATGGTAGTGGCACGGCGCTGAAGCTCGCGTCTTCCGTCGACGGAGGGGATTTTCTTTGGGTCGTCGACGAGGATGCCACGCTACCACTGGGCACCAGCCAAGTTGAGGTCGAGGTCGAGTTTGTGAGTCTGAGCGCGAGGGATGCTTCCGCCGCTGGTCACGACCACGACGCCGTGTCGCCTGGTCTGGGACATGAAGCGGTCGGCGTTGTTTCCCGGTGCGGCAAGCATGTCAAATCGGTCGTTGTCGGCCAGCGAGTGGCTGTCTTCCAGAGCCAGGCGTGCAGAACCCACGTTCGCCAGGACGAGGGCCTCGTCGCGGCCATGCCGGCTGGTCTACTCCCGCAAGAGGCCGCTGCGCTGTCGAGTGCTTTCATTGCGGCGCAGTATGCCCTCGTCGAGGTTGCCGGCCTGGGCCGGGGCCAGAAGGTGCTCGTCCACTCTGCCGCCAGTGCTTTGGGCCAGGCTGCCATTCAGATCGCCCATTTCGTTGGAGCCGACGTCTTTGCCCTGGTTGGATCCAAGGAACAGAAGGGCGTCTTGGTCGAGCAATACGGCATATCTCCCACTCGCATTTGGGACTCCGCTTTGCCAAACTTCGTCACGGCCATTGCGCAGGCCACCGATGGCAGCGGCGTCGATGTCGTGCTCAATAGCCAACAGAGCCCGGCCGTACTGCCATCGCTTGCAACCCTTGGAGACTTTGGGTACTTCCTCGATCTCAGCACCCCCATGCCCGACTCTCCGCAACTCCACCTGCCTTCCTTCAAGCACAACGCTTCCCTCATCCGCATCGACAAGGACCGTGTTGTGCAGGCGAAGCCTGACGTTGTTCAGACGCTCTTTCAGCGCATCTTCCACGACTTCTGCCGCAGCGGCAGCATTCGGCCCATCTGGCCCACTGTCGTCTACTCTGTCAATGATATGGTGGCGGCCCTAGATGCCGTGAAGGCGCAGGACCATGGCAAAGTCGTCCTGTCGCTCAGCAAGGACGCTTCGGTGTTAACGCTGCCGCCACCTGCGCCCGAGCTAGCATTAGACAAGACTGCTACGTACGTGCTTGCTGGTGGGCTGGGAGCATTGGGGCTGAGCATTGCCGACATGATGGTGGAGCATGGGGCCGGGCACCTTGTCTTCCTGTCGAGATCGGGCGGCAGCAAGAACGAGAAGGACTTGGAGGGCTTCCGTAGCCGTGGGGTGCACGCGGAGGCTTTCAGGTGCGATGTCAACGACGCCCGAAGTGTGATGGGCGTGTTTGACCGGCTGAAGAGTGAGGGGCGCGTGGTCAAGGGCGTGGTTCAGTGCGCCATGGTCTTGGAGGTATATCTTCTTTTTCCCTTTACCTTATCCCCCCCCCCCTGTTGGACATGTGTAGACTGACATATCGGCAGGACGCCATCTTCGATAACATGACGTACGCCAAATGGTCGCGCGCCTTTCTACCCAAGACGCAGGGCTCGCGCAACCTCCTCGCCCAGCTCTCACCCGCCGAGGCGCCCTTCTTCATCCTGCTCTCGTCCATCACCGGCATTATCGGCAACACGGCGCAGGCCAACTACGCTTCGGGCAATACGTTCGAGGACGCGCTGGCTCACTACGCACGCAGCCATCTCTCGACCGCCGCGACCAGCATCGACGTCGGCTTGGTGTCCGACTCGTCGCACTTCACCTCGACCGGCGAGTTTGGCGAGCTGGAGAGTTACCTGCACCGGTACCAGCACGGCTGGGCCGGTCTGCAGACCAGCCTCGAAGAGTTGCGGGTTGTGCTCCAGGCGGTGATGAGGGGATCGACGGCTGACGGACGGGAGGTGCCGGCGCAGCTTGTGCTGGGTGTAGGGGACGCGCTGGTCAGGAAGGATGATCAAAGCGGGTTTGAAAGAGACCGGAAATTTGAGTTGAGAGTTGTCAGCGCCGAAAGCGAGGCTGGTGGTGAGGGTAGGGACAAGGGCGTGGGGGTGGGAGAAAGGCTGAGCACGGCGACGACGCTTGGTGAGGCCTCGGCGATGGTGGAGGAGAGCTTCAAGGCACAGATTGCAGCGGCCATTGGCGTCGAGGTGGACGAGGTGGATGGACAGAAACCATTGCCTGAATTTGGGGGTGAGTTTTCCTATTCTTCTTCAGTTTCCTTTTCCTACTTTTACCACGGACGACATGCTAACTCTACTGCGAACAGTGGACTCGCTCAAGGCGGTCGAGATCCGGAACCGCGCCCTGAGGGAGATGCAGAGCGACATTTCCGTCTTTGAGCTGTTGAGCGCCACGCCCTTGACGGAGCTGGCGGTCAAGATTGCCTCCCGGAGCGGGCTGGTCAAGCTGGATTCTGAGCAAACCAGTCTCTAAGCGGCCAGCGAATGTGGGATTGATGGGTGGGTGGGATGGGTGTGCCGCAAACAGAAAAGAAGAAGAGAAAAAATGCTGGGTAGGAAGGTGGAAATTTTGACAGACTATCAGATGTTTATTAGGTGTGGGTTCAATCTTCGTACCGGGCAGTTTGACTGTCAAGTTTACTTCAAGACATCTTGACAGTTGTACGGTTGGGGTCGCTTCAGGGATTCGTTACTTAAGTATCTCAAGGCCATGGGCTCTCTGGTCTCTACTTTTACGCAGCTCAAATCTGTACACTATGCCTGCTCGTCAAAGTTCGCGACCATTAACTGCAGAATGATGAAGTGGCCCAAAGAGTGTAATCTATCTGCAGAATCCATCTGTCTCAGAAGAAGAAGGCTAATCTGCACTTTGGGCTTTTTCAAATCTACAAGACGATCATCAGACTGCCGCGCAACCTCAAGCTAACTCTCATATTTGTCCAAGATAAGCGATCTGTCAGATTTGAACTGATAGTGTACACTATATTGATATCCTCGTGGGGGCCAAGCAGTTCCATCCACATTTGCGAGCCCTGTCAGCGACACACTCAGAGCACGCTTTCATCACCAGCACGGGCTGAAAGGGGCCCCTATGCTACACCCCCACCACCACCTTCGCCCGTGGCATCACAGGCGGGTAGGAAAAGACATCTTTCTCATGCTCCAGCGTCTTGCTGAACAGGGCATACAGAACCGCGAAGCCAGCGCAGCTCAACAACGAAGCGATCAGTAGGCCGGCCCAGAAGGCATGCGCAGCATTCTGAACATTCCGACCCAGCTCCGGCTCCGCTCCAAAATACCAATACAAGCCAGCTAACACACTCAAGACAGCCGCTGCTGCCAGCAGTGGCACCCGGGTCCAGGTGCCCAGGCTCAGAGTAGCTGTGATACTCCTCGCAGACTTGCTGCTGCTGCTGCTGCTGCCGCCGCTGCTGCCGTTCATCTTTACGCTGCTATCGTGCGGCGCTGCTGGGACGTGTGCGGGGTTGGTAGTAGCAGTAGTAGTGGATTCAGCCAGGCGACCGACCAGGAACTGCTGCATCGTCTTCATGGCGTAGGCGCTGTGGCCGGCATATTCATATGTTTTGCTACCGTCGGTGCCGGCGCAGTCCTTGAGCACGTCGATGCCGCCGGGGTGGTCAGCGGCAAAGGAGGTGAGGTTGTAGACTGCGTTGGGGGGGGACGGTCAGTAAGTAGTTGCTGTGAGGCCCAGAGCCGCGGGCGTTGAAGCTGCTAGAAAAACTCACCGTTACCGTACACCGCCACCCACAGGTCTTGCTGCGTGTTGTGCTTCTCGAGCTGCGCGGGCGTGATGGTGATGGTGTTGGTGTTGGTGTTGTCGTGCTGCGAGTTCGCCATCATGATGTTGCCGGTCTGTCACGTGCATGTTACGTTAGCTCTGCTTGGCACCACTTCTTGGAATACTAGTACTAGTACTACTATAGTATAGCTCTTGCTGCTCATCAGCTTCAACTTGTTCTCCCAACTTGCTAGAACCAATCAATCAAATCAATCAAATCAATCAAATCGTTTCATACCAGGGCACGGTCGGTGGCGAGGCTGAGGTTGTCGCTGATGTCGTCGCTGGTGTGGGATCGGGGGCACCCAGGACTCGGGCTTCCGTAGCAGATCTCAGGCAGTCCTTCAGTCCGTGGATGGATGTGCCAGCGGCGTTCAAGACATGGAAATATCATGTGGGGATGGGACTCGACAGTACCCACTCGGGAGCCAGGCGGGATCAGCTTGAAACTGAAATCGAAATCCTCCACCGGCTACGGCCCCAGGCTGTTGCATCAAGGGCTGCAGCAGCGGTGACGACCAAGTACAGTATGAGATTCAGATTTCCCGATTTGGCCCCGGTCCGCCCCTCTTATAGATGAAGCAGGATTGCGGCGTTGGCCATATTCTGTACTCTGACAGTACTCGACAGTACTCAACAGTCTTGGTCGCTCAGAAACAGTCTTGAATGTTGATTGCCTGGAAATGGCCCTGGCCGGTAGGCTTTTCCTTGTTCCATTTCCACTTCCATTTCCTACCGTACAATTCTGCGGTCTTTATACTCGTCTACGCATCATACTCTACTCGTGGACACCTCGTCACCATGTACCAGGAATTCTTCATCGGGCGCAGCGTCCAGGAGCGCTGCCAGAAAATTGACATCTCTGCCTTTGAGACAATCCAGCAGCTCCGGGCCAGTCTCGGACGCGTGTTTTCTTTCGCAGACCCAGATTGTAAGTTGAGCACCACTCCCCTCAAACACACAAAGAACCCACAAACCGCTAGCCATTTGCTTCCACAGCAGCGAAAGCGGCGCCCTCGCCTCCCTCGAGGCCATCCGATTCTCCAGCAGCGCTGTGGAGCTGCGTACATGTCCAAATGCATCGATCCGACCGCCTCCGGGGCCTCGAAGCCATCCTCTCGTGGGCAACCACTATGAACTCTACCCCGACCCGCTGGGAAACTACGACCGGCTCTTTGCACGCTATGGCCCCTTGATCAAGACGGTCAACATGGGAACGACGACCTACCACACCAACGACCCGGAAATCTCGCGTCACGTCCTTCGTGAGGGCGACATGTTTACCAAGATCACCTCCGAGCCCGCGCATCCGCTCTTCTACATGAGCGACCAGAGCGCGCTGTTCACCTGCGACACCGACTCGCCCGCCTTCTCCGTCAGCCACAAGTTCGTTCCGCCCGCCATGTCGCCGCGCGCCCATCTGGGAATATTTGGCCTGATTGTTATTAACGCTGATCTAAATATTGTTAGATGGACCGGACATTCCCTGCATGTGCGAAGCATGCGCTAAAAGACCCGGGCAGGTCATCTGGCGGGTCGTCGTGGGGCAAGACCTCGAACATTTCCAGGCACTCGACACGCCGCCGGCACATGTCATCCACCTCATCGGCAAGTACCTGGCACTGATGAAGAAGACGTCGCTGCGCCCGAAATGGTACGGTAGCCTGCCCTTTGACGATCCGGCTC